TTTTATAAAGCTTGCTTGGTTTCTTTTAGCTAATTATAATAATTCTTATTATAGGTAAGAATATTATATATTTTTAGAATTAGCTTAATAATTTCTTTATATAAAGCTTCTGGGTTCTAAAGTAATTCTTGAAACTTTGCCTTTAATAAAACAGGCCTCTCTTTTTCCTCTATTCTCTAGAAGAAAGTATCTCTTTTATTATAAATATTAATAGAATATTCGAATCTTTTAGGAAACTTAATAAGAGGTTCTAGTTTACTTTCTAGTAATATACTAATAGTATCTTATATTATAGCTTCTTCTAACTTATCTAGTTATTCTGGAACTTGCTTTCTTATAAGTCTTTATTTAGTAATAAGGTTACTAGCCTATCTATTTACCTGGCTAGTCTAGAGCTTTCTTACCTAGTTATTCTAGGGCTTTCTTTTATTCTAATATTAGTTAACTAATATAAGAGTAATTAAAGTATATTATATTAATATTTATTAAAAACTAATTAGATAGGTATTATTTAAATTCTTTATAGAATTAAGAAATAAAAGAGCTTTAAATTATATTATAAGTATAAGATTTAGAGCCTGGAAAATATAATTAAACTATTTCTATTTTAATAATTTAAAGCTAAAAAGAAAAGAGAATCTCGAAGAAGCCTTAAATCTAAATAATTACAAGCTATATACGGGCCTATATACTAGCTTAAGTACGGGGTTATATATAATTATTAGGTAACTATAAATACTATACTTAGATATTGGATACCTTATTTAGATACCAGATATCTAGCTAGTTCTAGTCTAATTTCTACTAGTACTATATTATAATAACTATAATAATAACTATTATTATAATTTACTAAATAAATTATAATCTTTTTATTATTTTTACTTCTTATAATTTTTAGTTCTAATAAAAGTACTTTCTTATATAATAAAATATTATAGTTCTTTATCTAGTATTTATTATTTCCATAATATATATATTTTATTTATTTTTAATATAATTAGTATTTTACCGGAAATATAAATTATATTTAATTATTTATAAAAAAGCAAAAGATAAATTATAAAATTATATTAATAATATTAATAGTAAATATATTTATAGTATTATTTTTATTTAAATAATAAGGCTTTTTATTAGAATTACAGTATTTATATATATTACTAGAATATTTAGCTAGTTATTATATTATTTTAATAAACTTAATATAGATTTAAAAGAGATTTAGCTATTAAGCTAATTTATTCTTAATTATAATATTAAGTTTTAATAAAAGTAGTTATTTTATTTATTTTATTTTAATTTTATTCTTATATTTTATAAAATATATATTTAAATTTAGTAATAAAAATATAAAGTAATTAGTATTTTACTTTAGAAAATATAACTTGTTTTTTGCTTTTTATATCTTATTTAAATTCAAATAAATACGAGAGAATTAATTAAGAATTAAAATATAAGACTAAATTTAATTATTTTTAGTTTAAGAAAGCTAAAAAAGAATTATAGCTTAAATATAAAATTCGAGATTAAAGTAAATATAATAGAACTAAGTAATAATATTTTGAAAAAAAGAAAAAAGGAAATTATAAAAACTTGAAATAAAAGAGAATCTAATAAGCCCTTAATTTCTTTAATAAATATATAATTCTAGAGCTATATATATTAATAGTACTATTATTAAAATAAATTACTATAAAATTATATTTATATATAAAATATAAGAGTAGTTTTATTTTCTTTATAAGAATAAAAAGAATTTAGAATAATATTACGAGATTAGATCTCTATATTTAGAAAGTAGTAAAGTAGTTTAATTTCAAGAATTCTAAACTAAAGAAAAAAGCTCTTAAGTATAAAAGCTTTAGTATTCTAAATATTAATTCTAGTTATATATATTATTATAATTATATAATACTAAATTTATTAGTAAAATAATAGAATATAATAATACTTATAATTATTATTTTATAATTTATTTATTTTACAACTTATTTATTTTATAACTTATTTATTTTATAATTTATTTATTTTATAACTTATTTATTTTATAACTTATTTATTTTATAATTTATTTATTTTATAACTTATTTATTTTAATTATTTATATATTATCTTATTATTATATATCCTATATTTTAATTAATTTTATTTTTAAAAAATAATTAAGTTATTAATAAATAAAATTACTATTAACTAAAATATTAATTAAAAAGTGCTTTTATTATTACTAAAATTATTTAATTAAATATTTATAATATTTCTTAATTAAAAAAAGAAAGTAAAATATAAAGATTATTAAAATTAGCTAAAAAAATAACTTTAATAAAAAAGCTAGTAAATTCTTATTATTATATTATTAAATTAAAAATAAGAATAATTATTAGTTTACTAGAAATATATAATACTATTATATAATTATAAAATACTATTTATATAAAGTTAGTAAAGTAGTTAATATTTAGAAATAAGAATTATAGATTATAATATTAATATATAATTCCTAAATCTATTAAGCCTAATAGAAACTAGCTACTAGTCGAGTTATTTATAAAATATAAGATTATATAACTATATTTTATTACTTATATTCCGTTTCTCGAGTCTTATAACTATATATATAACTCTTAAAAAAATAACTATACTAATTTTAGAATTTTTCTAAAAACGCAAAAAATTATATTTCTTTTTAATTATATACTAATTCCCTAATCCGGCCTAATACTAGATATCTAAATATCTAAATACTCAGATATCTAAATATCTAAATATCTTTACTAAAAGAATCTTTATATATATTTTTCTATTTTATATATCTATTTTCTATTTTATTTATATTTAATTTATTTCTTTATATTTAATTATATAATATTTATATTAATAAGGTATTTAAGGGTATTTAATAGCTTTAATTTTATTATAAAGTTAATAGAATTCGATTTTCTTTTAATTTATTTAATTTTTATAATCTCTTATTATTTATATATTTAGTAAAAATATATTATATTAATTATTAGGCATTTCTTTTAAGTACTACCTAATTTAATAAAGTATTTATATAATAACTTCGAATTTATATAAATAACTAGTAATAGTTCTATTTCTAGTATTTTATTAATTATAGATTTAATTAAAGTACTTATATTAAAATTATAAGCTATATTATAGAGTTCTAAAACTAGAATACTTCTAGTAACTCTCTTATATTTAGTAAAGAACTAGTAAATAATATTAGTATATCTAGTTCTATTTACTAGAACTAGAATATATTTAATTTAGAAAAATAAATCTCTATTATTTATAAATAAAATATTTATAAAAATAATTAAATATAAAAACTTTTTTACTAGTTTTATAAATCTTAGTTTTTTAATAGTATTTTTAATTTACTATTAAATATATTTATTAAATACCTTTATATTAATTTCCAAAAGTTTAATAACTTAAATAGTAATTAATAAGTTATATAAAGCTTCTAATTAATAAATTAATATAATATATTAAATAATATATTAATTCTTAATAAAGAAATCTTAATAAATAGTATTTCTATTATTTATAATAATATTATTTTTTATAGAAATAGTTTAGAGCTTTTTATACTAGTATTTCTATATAAAAATAATTCTAGTAGTATTTATATAAATAGTATCTTTATTAAATTTAAGATTATAATTAAAAATAAAATATTTATATTTTTTAGCTAAGAACTTAGTTTCTTAGAACTTTAGTTTCTTTATTTTTATAAAATTATTAGTTTTAATAAATAAGATATTATTAGTTTAAAAACTAATGATTCTAAAAAATTATTTATTATAGAAAAGGCAAGAGTTATAAGTTAATTATATTATAAAAAGCTTATTAATATAATAATAATAATAAATCTTAAACTAGTACTTTCTAGCTTCTAGTATATTATATAATAGTTTTATAACTTTTAAAATAGAATTATTTTTCAGATTTAGCTTTTTATTAAACTTATAAAGCAAATTAATATAAAAATTATAATTAAGTAAAATTATTAATTAGATATAAGCTTATAAGATATTATATAAATATAATTTCGTAATATTTATTATTATAATAATAATACTAAATATAATTCATTAACTAATATATTAAATAATAAGGAATTATATTAATATTATATATTTCTTACTATTACTATAAGCTTAAATAACTAGTCTCGATTTTTAAGCTCTTTTTTTATATTTTTATTTTTAATCTTATTAATAAATCAGGAATTAAAAATATATACTTTTTCTAGTATTTAAAATCTGGAAATAACCTTAAATATATTCTTTTCTAGAAAGCTAATAACTTTAATTTAATAGAAATTCTTATATAGGTTATTATTCTATAAGAATACTATAATATCCGGGTTTTTATAAGAGTATTCTTTATTATACTTTAGTAGAATAGCAGAAATAATAAAAGAAATTATATTTATATTACTTTTAATTTTATTATAAAGTTCGGAAATAGATTCAGATTTGGAATTATTAGTAATAACTTTAATATCTCTTATATAAAAGGGCTTTATAGAAATCAAATAAAAGATAATATTATTATATAATAGAGCTAGTATATAAAACTTCTTATCTATTACTATAAGCTTATTATAAACCCGTTATTAAATTAGTTTCAAGATAACTTATAGCCTATAAGAAATAAAAACAAATATAAAATTAAATAAATTCTTTATAAGAAATATATAAGATATAATTAAAAGTTCTTAAAAAAGCTATTTATAAAATAAAAGAGTTATATATATTCTATATAGGAATTATATTCTATATTTAAAGAAATAATAATATTAGAAGCTTGGGAAGAAATTATTTAATAAAAAGAAGTTTTATTTATATATTTATAGAACTAGTATTTATATATTTATAGAACTAGTATTTATAAATAAAGAAAAAAGTAATATAATAAATTAAGATTTAATTTATATACTTAAAAAAAAGCCTTTACTAAATTATATAATAAAGGCCAGAGCTCTTATTATATAATATACTTTCTGGGGTTAATAAAATAATTATTATACTCTGCTGCTTTACTAGTAAATTTAGCGTCACGTGACCGCGATGACGTATGCGGCTGGCTAGTATTTAGAACACCAAAGCTCCTGTACTTACGAGCTTCCTTCCTTAGTTTAGAATCCTCGGATTAAGAGCCACTCTACCTTGCTTTCCAAGCCCAGAGACCCGGTTTCATGACAGTCTTGAACCTTCAAGTCCTTAATACACTTGAGGAAGTCGAAAGTTTCTTTAGTCTCGGGCTCGCCAGCTCCAAGACAGACGGAGACGAAAGTAGCCTCGCTAAATATCTGGCCCATTCTTGAAAGTTGCACTCTCTTTTTATCCAGGTCGACTTGGTTAATACACAACGCATCTCCCCAGATATTAACGTCTTTGGTCCTTTTGCGGAACTGCTTTGATGCGGCAGCCAAGTTATCCCTTATTTAAAGCTTTCCCGACAAGCTAAAAGGATTCACAGTTTGTAGCCCATCGCGTATAACTCTATCATCGTATATTGTAACTGGATGTGTCGGCTGGTCTTCCCCCCACACGTAGGACAGGGCATAATACTCGTAGTAGTCGGACTTCGAGGTTGATGTCGTCGACTGTAAAGAGCTCCGGAATAGCATGCACTCTAGAGCCGAGTCGTCCTTGCCATGGAGGATTTTCAAAATTCGAATATCCTCGTGGTAAGCTATTGGCTTGTACTTATAAGTGTTCCTCATCAGTCGAATCTTGTTTTCGGCAACACCATGTGTTTCGGGTGCTCCAGTGTTCCATATCAGCGCAAGAGGCTGCAGAGGCCCAATATGTTGGTCATAATGATGGCCTGACGGTTGTTCATCTTCGTGGTGCGAGATTGACATATTGTTATAGTGTGTAGGTTGACCATCAATGAAGGAGTTACGATTCAGTCGCGTGGCTCTGGAGAATTTGGCTGGGATGTGATGGATTTTGCCGGTGTGCCTTCCCTCGCCATTCCAGGTTGGCAACTTTAGGCACCAGCATCGCTCTGATTCGTGCCCAAACTGAAACGAATCAAACTCGCCCTCTTCGACGCCGAGGGTGAGTTGAGGGGTCTAGCGCCTGAGTAGAAGCGGCTATGCTTACCAACCGAATGTGGTACAAAGATTAAAGGAGTTCAACTACCGGCATATGAGAGCTCTGTGGATTGCGCGGAGGAGGATTCAAACTTGACATGCTCCAAGATGCGGTAGCGGTTTGTACTGTGGAATTATAACTCTTGGTGGAGCTTCAGAATGCGTATTTCACTGGGCTCTAACGTCTGATATTCGCAGTGAGCCATTTCGTTGCAGGTGTTGATCGGTAACAGCTTTTCTTGTGAGACTAGAGCCAACGGCCTCGAATGAATGAAGAAGCGGAGCGGGAAAGTGATGCTGCGGCTGAAAAAGCGCCTGCAGCAAGCATAGCGGATCACCTGACCCAGCGCACATCATGTATCTGGAAGTAGAAGTGGACGGATCTAAGTCCTTTGTATGGGAATATGCAGGTGCCAGTCTATATATGCCACCCAAGTTAGACCCCAACGTATGTATTGTATCCACGGCTCATTTAATTGTACCCCCCCCTCCTCCTCTCTCAGTAATCCTCCCCTATCTTCACGCACCTCACCCATTTCCCTAGCACCCTCTCACTGAACGGTAACCACCTTCCCACCCCTCCTCTTAACCTCCTTCATCCCCTCCACCCAACTCCCCACCTCCATCACCGCCCGTCGTGGATCCTTCTTCCGCTTCAACAGGAAGCCCTGGATCTCAGCCGGACTAAACATATCATCCGGCACCTGCTCCGCGAACCTGCCCGCAATCTCACGCAACTCCTCCGCGCCCAGCTCCTCATCCTTCATCTTCTCAACCTTCCCGTTAGCAACCACGACAGCGCCTTTTGCGGAGCCGCTGGCAGTTCCGTAGGCGATTCCGTTCGCAGTGCTCTTGACAGGGGTGAGAGGAGGTGTGAACACATCTTTCTCGTTGGTGGTGCCGGTGATGGTTGGGGAGGAAGAAGAGGGATGCGAGATGATTAGCTTGGTGCGAGGGAGGTCGTTGGTATACATCCTCTCAAAGAGCTCGTTCACTTGTAGCTGCGTGGCGTTGCCGAATGCGACTTGGTGGTCGACGCGTCCGGGGCGGATGAGTGCTTCGTCAAGCTTCTCCGGGTGGTTGGTTGTCATTACTAGGACTCTGCCTTCGTGGGATGCAACGCCTGATGGATGTTAGTACTCTATCTGATTGAATTTTAAGATGAAATACGGATATTAATGAAAACGGAGTAGGAGTGGGGATTGCAAGCGACGTACCATCAATAATGTTCAACAGCCCAGAGAGCGAGATACCCTTCTTCTTCTCCTCTTCCGACAACTGGTTCGCTTTCTTGAGCGCTTTCGTCAAATCAACCACATTCCAATCCTCCCCCCTTCTCTTCCCCTCCCCCTCCTCATCACCCTTCTTCACCTCCACTTTATCACTAATCGGCTCCCGAATCAAGCCCGCAGTATCTATATCCTCAAGCAGGACAATGCACCGTGCCGGCAAATTCGTAAACAGCATTCCCAATTCCTCTTCCGTGAGCGTCGGCTCCAACAAGGAAACGACGTGAATATCCAGCCCAAACACGCCCGCCAGCGCGAAGGTCAAACTCGTTTTCCCCGTTCCAGGCGGTCCATAGAATAGGTACCCTCTCCGGTACGGGATACCGCGGTTCGCATACCAGCGTGCAGTAGCAGGGTTAAGATACTCGTTGATATCAGCCAAGACGTCCATCTTCCGTTCCTCGTCTAAGACAACGGTCTTCATCGGTCTACAAGGCCGCTCTGCGATCTTGACCCAGGAACCACGACCCCCGAAACGGCGCATATCTTTCGGTGCTGGGCGCTTGATGACCGTCTTTGCGTTGTGGCCGAGGTGGTAGTGTGCTTTTGCATGTTGGATGAGCTTTTTTATGGGCTCGGTGGAGCGTCCGAAGCAAGAGAGTGTGAGGAGCTCTTTGTCTTTGAAGGCTGCTGCGCCACCTCCTAGCTCGTCGAACATAGCTACCTCTTTTCTTCGGAGCTGAAAGTACGTTCCTTTGTGCCAGAAGTTGTGGGAGCCAATTGCTGGTGTGAAGCGGGGTTGCGATTTTGCTTCTTGGTTAGAGAAGTTTAGCCATTTGATGTTGCCTTCTGCGTCAACGGTCGTTTCCGGCGTCTCGGTGTCCTCGTTGTCCAGCTCCCAAGCGGATTTGGAGGGTGTCTCGGCCATGAGCCTTCGGGAGGAGTTAATCTTGTATTGGTGCGCAAGGAAGGCGATGAGGTGGGCGTGGATCTCGTCAGTGCTGCTGACGGTGATCTCGGCCATGTAGTTGCTGGCGACGGTTGCATAGATGACGGTCCATACTGAGCGGAAGATTCTCCCAGAGAGCCAGAGGACGACGCCAAGGGAGACGAGCACCGTGACGTCGAAGCCAAAGGAGAACAGGAGGAATTTGTGGATGGCGCCGTAGCCCGGGACGAAGGTCTCGAGGAGTGTCGTAGGGGAGAGCCCCCCTCCCGGGAGAGAAGACGACGAGTCAGAGATGTTTCCTGTGCTTCGTGGTGGAAAGGCGGACTCGAGAATATTCCCGATTCCAATTTTTTGCTTCATGGCTGCTGACCTATGAGGTTGGCAAGCCGATGTTGGTGTTTTGCCCTCGTGACTGGAAGAGTCTATCGCCTGCAGAAATTTCTCTTTGTATTGAGCCCGATCCTCTCTCGAAGGTGGAGGGATTTATCTCCGAACGTAGGATGCGTTTCACAGATTGTGACTTCTGTCTAAAAGAGCGGTATGGAAAGGAAAATGAATTCTTTTATGCGTGTTGGCACCACAAGGATGCAGCACCCTCTTGAATGGTCGAGCACTCGCCACGCCATGCACCTGCTTTGTACTTCGCGGCGGCAGCAGCAGCAGCAAGGGTATGAGTCGGTTGGAAAAAGGGATAAAGTTGGAAATTTACATATGAAGAGACGTTCACCAGTGCTTGTGGATTGCTAGGGGCAAACTTAAGGCAACAGTTTGCCCCAGACAAGGCCAGTTTGGAGCCTTGCAGTACCAAGCAGTGGCGAACTTCGGCGAAGGCAGGCTTCAGCCACGTCATGTCTGGATTGGAGGGGTACCTATATTCAGTTACATAAGGCGAAATGCAGGTATGAAAGTTAGTATTGTGGAGGGGGCGTGTGACAAAATTGAAGACATGTTGGATGTGTTTGGAGGTGTGGTGAGGAAGGAATACATAATCCAGCAAAGGCTTGGGATCGGCAAGCCACATGCAATCTTCCGAGAGGACAACCGCCTCAAGATCCTCTCTCTCGATCGGACATATCAAGCAACCAACAAATAACACACCAGCATCAAGATCCTACCATCTTGATTGTGACACCTTCCATCAGCCCCCCTCGTTGTCCAGCTCCGACTCCAACCGCATGAAGCCTCGATCCCAGACCGGTTGGCTGCCTGCACAACATCCTCGGCCCTGCAGCCTTGTTTTGCGCGCGGCTCGATAGGTCGCGGGCCACAGTTCCGGTTTACCTCATTCAGCCCACGACAGTTACCACGCGACGCAGGAGAGATACCTAGTCTGCCTTACCTTGCCTCGAAGGATTGTGGACAGGCCGGTGTTGGTACAGAGGACTCACATTTGCGTCGATTGAAAGGAAAACAGATCTGGTTCGAGAAGTGCGGACGGTTCGCGCGAAAGTGCAAGCTACCGTTGAGGGAGACCAACTTTGGCAAGGCGCTGCGGACACTCCGGTGTGCTACGCCGAGTACAAATTTGCATACGATTGAAGCAAAGGGATTGGTTTGGACAAGATGATGTCCTCAACGAACGAAGAGGACCCGTTCCTCCAAGTTCAAGCGTTAGTCTTCCCCTCTCTCAGCATCTATGGCGACCCCATCTGCCCCTCAAAGCTCCGCAGAGCCTCAACACAATTTCCCCTCCTTTGTCTCTCCCCAGAAAACCTCAGATCTCGGGCAGCACAGAGCCTCCTCCCCTCCCCTCCCCCCGATCTTTCCCCACTCCCTCCCTCTTTACTCCACTCCAAGCTAACCCCCCTCCCCCACACAGCGAAGTCCTAACCTCCCTAACCTCCACCCGCCAACTCTTCACCTCATACCTCCGCATCCTCTCCCTCAGTCCCACCCCCACAAACCCCGAGCTCCTCTCCGCCCGCGCCGAACTAACCTCCTCGCTCAACTCCCTAACCGAAGACCTCTCCGACCTCTCCGCTTCCGTCTCCGCCGTGCAGTCCGACCCCTACAAATATGGACTGGAGATAGAGGAAGTAGCACGGCGGAGACGGCTGGTTGAGGAGGTAGGGGGCGAGATTGAGGATATGCGGGAGGAGCTCGCAAAACCGTCCATCCAATCTGCCTCCTCAGCAAACGGGAAGGGGAAGGGGTTGGGGATCAGTGGGAGTGGGAGTGGACTTGGGGACTCGGAAGAAGGGGGCATGGATTACAACGCCGAGTTCGAACACCAGCAACAGCTACACATGATGGCGGAGCAAGACACCACATTGGAAAGCGTCTTTCACACGGTAGGGAATCTAAGGCAACAAGCAGACCACATGGGTCGGGAGCTGGAAGAGCAAGCTGAGATGCTGGATACAGTTGATAACCTCGCGGATCGGGTGGGAGGACGCCTGCAGACGGGGATTAAGAGTATGGGGACTGTGATAAGGCGGAATGAGGAGAGGTTTAGTAGTTGTTGTATTGGGGTGTTGATTTTTGTGTTGGTGTTGTTGTTGGTGCTTGTTTTGGTTTTATGAAGTAGTAAGAACTTGCGGTTGATAGGACGGGGCATTGGAGGCATTGATGGAGCATGGCGTCGGGTTGGTCGCATTGGGTGTGGAGTTAGGGATAGATACTAAAGCCGAGACATAGTCACAGAATAGAAGAATCTGAAGGCGGTAAAACAGTCATCACAATTCATTACCCGCGTTCGTTCAAAAAGCTCGCTGGTTCCTAATTTCTGAACGCTATGATGAGTTGCCTTTTAGCCTCCATATTTACGTCAATCAAAGAGAACATTCGTCCCACCTGCCAGCCAGCCATCAGAAGACTCATCTATCGTGGGGGGGAAAAAAAGGAGAAGCGTCAAATCTGTCTGCTGCTGCCCATTGATCAATCGAGTAGGAAAAGGAAGAGAGAAGAAAGACTCGCTCGGAAACAAAGTCTGCCTGTATGTCGTACATTGAATACCACCTCACGCGGAGGCAGCTACATTCCAAGGCCGGCCCTGCATTGTGATAGAGCGACAAGGTCTCCCCAGCTAAATACGCCCGCATCAAGAAATATGACTAGCCTGATCATCCGTCAAGATCGGATGAAGCCGGTAGTCACCCATCCCCGAAGAATCCAACCCCGGACCCACCACCGCACTGTTAGAGCCCGCGCTCCCGGACCGCCGATGAGAGCTAGCATGGCTACGCGCCGGACTGGAACTTTTCGATTTCTGAAGGAGAACACATCGTCAATGACCTTTCCACCATCGGAGGCTGGCAAAACGCACGCATCGCATAGACAAAAATGCTAAAGAGGAGATAGATGAGAGAGAGTATGCGCGAGCCCACACTTCTATTCCGTGAACAACACAATTTCACAGGGGTAGGTAGGGTAAGGCAGGGGCATCCTGAAACGCAGAATAAAGCGGCATAATGCAAGTGCAAATCATCGCTGGCTTCTGGAGGAGCCTACCGAGTTTTGTCGATCATGAGTTGGTCTTCGCTCTCTCCGATCTCCATCTTGGAGCTTCAATGAATCCAATCTCTTCTGGTTGTCCTCGGTGATTGGATCTAGCTCGTCAACCTTGCTTTTCGATCGTGTTGAGTTATTGGTGACGGCAGAAGGACGGACAACGCCGTTTGTCTTCGCACGCTTGGCTTGTTCTGCGAGAGCTTTCCACTTGCTTTCTCTTGCCTGCTCGCGGGCCTCTGCATTGTTCTGATTCTCGGTGTAATCGTGTGAGCAATCATCGAAGAGCTGTGGGTTGATTTCCATGAAGAGCTTCATGGCATTATATACCATGCCATGGATTGTCCTTGTACAGGTTAGCAAGTAAAATCGGAAGAGTTGAAATCGATTTACCTATTCCAGTGTCCTTTCGAGTTCTCATAAAGTGGAGCGAACATGATTGGAAGGATGATCTCCACATTGTCGCTAACAAGATTGCAGAAGTATTCGTTGTTCCAAAAGTAAAGAGCACGCTCTGCAACCTGGAAGTGAGGACTTGCCACTGATTTTGCAAGTTGATGGAACAGCGGCTCTTGAACTTTTGCGAATTCGGCTGGATCCATGACCTCGAAGATATCCTCAACCTCGTTCAAGAACATAACCTCCTTCGTGCTGTTAACTTTCGGCCAGTAACGTAACAACCCAAGGACGACCTCCTCCGTCAAAGCGGCATCCTTTTCCAGGAATTGGACAATGCAGTATGCCAGCTGTGGATGATACATGCTCAGGCTCTTGACTTTGTGCAATGGGATTAGTACCCGAGTAAGGAAAAGCTTGTGTTCTTCCTTCAGGGGCAAGGCGAATCCGTTGATGATAGACCCGAGAATTTCTAATAACTCCGCAATGCCGTTGAATCGTTCCGTCTCGTAGATAAATTGGAAAAAGACATTATTCATGGACCTTCGTATGTATGACCGCAGATTGAGGAACTTGCCGTATATTCGGTGCAAAGTCGTCTTTAAGAAGTCTCGTTCTCGGGGATCTTCAGAATCGAACAGCTCGAGAAGCTGCAATACGAAGCTGTGATCTATGTACGCCTTGGCGATGTTGGTGTTGAAATCTTGGCTCTCGATGAATCTCAGGAAGAATTCGTACACGACTTGGATATGGGGCCAGGCGACTTCAAGAACAGGCTCGTCTTCCTCTGGGTCAAAGGCTTCTCCTTGAGGATTCATTGGCGGTGGAATCGGCCGGAAAAGATTCTTGCTGAACATGTCCACCACTCTTGGATACATTGCCTCTGTAATCACCTGCCTGTTATTCGCAACGTAGTCTAGCAGCTCATGAAGCGCCAGTCGCTTGATTTCTTTCGATTTCATATCACCACTGGCGTCATTGAAGTCGAAGATGACGTTGCATTGATCGATCTTCTGCATGAAGAGGTCCTGCCGGCGATTGGGGGGAACTTCGTGGAAGCCTGGCAGCTTCTCCAATTCTCGTTGTGGAGAGATATCGAACCTCGAGGAATGCTGTCTCTTCGGCGTTCTGATTCCTTCGGGGACATCTTTCGGGGTTGTTTGTAAGCGGTCAAACATCAGAGACTTTTGGCCGGCTTTTGGAGGAGCAAGATCGTGAGGCATCGTCTCTGCTGCACCTGGAGGAGGAATGTGCTAGGCACAATATCAGTGTTCAGTCTCTCGCGGCAGTAAAAAGGCCAACTTACTGGTGCACTTGGACTAATAATAACACTCGGAGGGAGCTGACCATGGCGACTAGGAGTGCCTGATCCACCAGCACTTGGTGCATTTCCTCCGATGCTATTGAATCGATCCGGATTTGCCATTGTGCTGTGTCCTGGATTTAGCGAATTGATCGATCCCGATTGTGGCTGCAAAGCAGGGCTGGATGTTGATGCGTTCGAAGCCCCACCATCGTTTGGTGGCAGCGGTTTATTGCGAGGATCGTTCAGCGCAGTTGTCGAGGAAGATGGGGTCGCAACTGGAGATTGTGCTGCTTCTCTCGAGCTTGCTTGTGATGGCGACGAGGTTCCGTCCTTAGACTCTTTATTCTTGGATTTGGAAGATTTGTTTGAGTCTTTCGCGCGCGAGAGCTGCTCATGCTGAAAGGGTTAGCATGCGGTCGACTACCGGCGCATCGAAAAAGTCTGTTATGTGCCAAAGACAGACCGGCAAGACTTACAACCCGTTGCCTGAAGCCTTTCATCATGGGCGACTTCGAGGCTGTGTTTCAGATATCTCCGTCTTGGATAACAGATAGCTGATACCCTCAACAGACCGTTCTTTTCAACTCCGCAGACTTCACAATTGGTTGGCACGTCTGTTTAACGTGATTGATCGTGTATGGGAGGTAATTGTAGCTCAACGGCAGGTATAGAGGAAGGTGTTGCCTGAAGTTGTGGCCGGTAAGTGTGGGGAAACAATGAGCCGATATCGAGAGTAGGGCCAGCAAGCGCCTTCTCGCACACGCGGTAGCTACGTTTTTCGAGGCAGGAAGTAAAGCCACGCAAGATCGGAGAGCTGGTGGGTCGGTAGCCTTGGCTCAGTTGTTTGTTGATATCTCGGGCTCGGGGAGGCAGCCAAGGAGACGGCAGTCAGAACACTCGTTGCTGGATCTTGTTCTCCCCCAAAATAGTCGCAACCACGCGCAAACCGTAGCTTCCCGTAGATATGAGGTTGGTGTGGCCGAGGTGAGGATATTGATCTCGCGCCTTGAGCTAGCTCCTGCTGATCTGCATATTGACAACGTCAGAGCCAAGTCCAAGACAGAGCAGCACCAATGACTGAAAGTCCATGGGTGAATCACACAAACCGCGTCTTCAAGAGCACACCCAATAACGACTAGGCTCTGTCCGCACAACCTGCGGCCGTGAATGTGGAGATGGCTCCCGGCGGTGTATGGGCTCCTCCTCGTTACCGTGACATTCGAAGAGATGTGACAAATGAAAGCCCACGCGTCCGGCGCACCTCAAGCTCGTAGAGGAGTAGAGAGAGGGATTGGGAAGAGGAATCGAAGACCGTCGGCGGTTCAATGGACGTCAGAGCGACAGCACAGGCAAGAACAGCAGCTGGCTAGCCGGCGTTCGGTTCCCCTCCACCAGGAGTGAGTGCGCCTAATTTGGCGCTAGTGTGGAGGCCTTAAAACTGAGGATGGAAACTTTCTCGTCCGCTAAAGGCTTCCCTCTTAACTAAACTAATTCACTAACTACAAGGGAGTTCCTATTCTCACTCGGTATTCAGATGGAGCCATTCGACTGAGCAAAGCGTGACCAATCTTTGCAGAAGCTATGGCTGATCGCGGCCCTCCTCCACGCAAGAAGCAACGCCGCCCATTGCCCGCCAGGCGACCCCCGCCAGAGCCCGAGCCAGCTCTTGCTCCTGAATTCGAGATAGGCACTCGAGAGGTAGTTGCTGTTGAACACCCTGCCATCATACAGAACCTGGATAATGGTATCAAGACATTCGGGGACAATCAACCATTTGAACGTGTAAGCTCATCAACAGTTGCGGCACCTTTTTGTCATGCTCTTGTGGAGGTCCCGTGACCTGAAAGAAGCACCCACTTTCTGATATGAGATCAGCCATACAAAGCTAACAGCCTCTCAGATCATCAACTGCATTGATCCTGAGGAATGTATCCCACTCTATCTCAGGTTCAGAGACCCGACGTGTCCTCCAATTCTATCCCAAAGCACTTCGACCCAGAATATTGTCCTGAAGATCACGGTACCGAAGCGGACGGGCAGGAGACGCAAGAAAGGCTCTCAGGATCCATTCACAAGTGATGGAAGACCACTACCGCCGATACCTTCTAGTAGTGTTTCCGTCCCACCTCCACCGAAACCGCCCTCTCCGATCCCTCCCGGGCTGCCAATCGCAGGGGATGGTGTTGCTGGCCAAAGCTTTCCTGATGGACCAGGGCTGCCAACTGTTATGGATGACGTTGATGGCTGCAGCGCTCTTGATGCGCATCTACACCGTAGACCAATGCCACCATCCGGAGAAGAAGATGCGACTTGGGAAGATGATGAACCTCGTGCACCCGAACTCTGTTCTCACTCCAGGATGGATACCAGTCTTTGGAGGAGGCTCCAGGACAATATTGGCAAGTACACCTGTGAAGCTGTGGCAGAAATCAAACAGACACATCGTTTCCGAGGTAAGCATTCAGCAGGCCTAAGTCCAAACCAGAACTGACCATTACAGGCTTGGCGGACTTCCATCAATCAACAACTCATATGCCGTTCTTTTCCAAATTCCGCGATACGGCTCTCACCGGGAATAGTATGTGTTAAAATCTCCCTTGCTCGGATTCTGCTGACAGCCCCCAGTCGAGAAGATGCGAGAGTTCAAGTTCGATACTAGCAGAGGCCCGAAACCAAATGAAGAGATCATAATGCCAACTAACATCACGCCTTATTCTTTGCCATTCAACTGGAGCTGGCAACAAAATCCTCACATCTCCCAAGAAACCGACCCAGTCACAGGCAAGCCAATTTTGGTGAACACTTCACGACTTGAGAGGCTCCAGGTGGTGTACTTGCCCCATTACATAGAAAACATCCCAGAAGGACCTTCTCAAGAACCCCCCGATGACCAAGATGTCCTCCAGATTATTGAGAACATCAAGGAATTGTACAATGCACGCCCCATCTGGACTCGGAGAGCCATCATCAACAAAGTCAACTACGCTATCACCGAGGCTACGCTGCACCTAATCAGATTGGCTCTCCCATACATTGGCTATCGATTTAGAGACGGCCCCTTCAAAGACGCCATCATCCAGTTTGGCCTCGATCCTCGAAAGGATCCTAAGTATCGCATGTATCAAACCATCTACTTCCAGCTCGCGGAACGGGAGGTAAGGGACCCCAATGCGCCATGGACCGGGATCCTCAAATCGACCAAGACCCCAAAGCAAACAAAGCGATCGAATGACAAGTTGAGTCACTTCTTCGATGGCAGAGATGTCGCCGTTGATGGGAAGATCTGGCAAATGTGCGACGTCACCGATCCACTGCTCGCAAAACTCATCAAAGAGGCTCCTATCAGCGAAATTTTCGATGCCAAAAACGACGGTTGGTTTTGTAACGGGACCTTCGCGAAGATCAGAGCCATCATGAAAGTCAAGATGATAGCTCTGCATACGGGAAGGGTAGTGAAAGATGAAGACTTCAAGAAAGCGCTCGAGATGCCAGACATCATCCCAGATCGAGAAGGCGGACGGGTCTGGATACCCGTCCCGGATATGCGGTTGAGCAAGGAAGAAATGGAGAAGTTACGAGCGTCTGGGAAGGACTTTACCATCATGAGTGGGATGCTGAAGCAGAAGAGAGCTTATAATGGACCCTTGAGACATCGGCGACGCCTCGAAGACGAAGCGGGTCCTAGTAATCGCAGACAGAAGCCGATATCTACTGGGGAAACAGATGAGACTCGGGGACCCAGCACAGCAGAGACTATGGACCCTAGACTCCTCGCCGACCAATTCTCCGAGGCGAGGATAGCGGATGATACGGATGTCGGTATGGGGGATTATGGAGGATATGACGATGGTGAAGACGAGATGGAGGATTCGGAGGCAGATCGCTCTTCAGACTTAGGTGATGATGATAGCGAGATGGAGGCATTTGGTCGGTCACCTGAAGACGAAGATGATACCCGTGAGGAAGGAGGAGGTACCAGCGAAGCAGACTCCGTCGATATGGTGGAGTACCACGACTCTCCCTCTCAGCTTTCATAGAGCATCGAGGGGCAGGAGTGAGAATTGATCGGCTGTTGAATAGCAGCCTAGAGCAACTTCGAGCTTGGCAATGCATACGCGTCTGAATCGCACTTGCATCTGGCATTTAGAAATGGCACGATGATCAATTCCAACCATCGTGCCCAAAACGAAAAACTTGATGTCTCTGGCACGAGATCAGGGCAAAATTAAAGACTGGCCCCGAAGCTTGCGTAGGGCCGCCAGGCTTTAATTTTAGCGAAGCGGCCCTGATCTCGATTCGAGATTAATTAGATGCCTCAGGCACTTATTTAAGGGATATCAGCTTTACTGACTTTAAATTCACTTTGAAAATTCACTTTTTGAAGGCTAAAAATTTTCCAGGTAAGCTAAATAAGGTAGGTTTTAATTTCGAATTCCAAAGCTTCTTTCCTTTAATAAATATACATATATACATATATACGTAAGTCAACCCCTATACCCGCTACGGGCCTGCCCCTGGCCTGTAATACTCCTTACGGTCCGTAGAATGTCTTCTCTACCATCTGCTGCCGCCGCCGCCACTACTACTATTACTACTACTACGGCAGTAAGCTTTGCTACTGGCCTGCCGCCGCCGCCCCACCCGTACTATGGCCTCCCTCTCCCTCCTCGCCGCCCGCCGTATACCTGTCTTACGGCCCGGCCGCACTACCAACCCCGCCCGGCCTGCTAACCTGGAGACTGAGCTTGGCTAATTCGTTAGTCAAGTTCACCCTGCCGGGTATATATATTATACTAGCGGGTCGGATATATAGATAATATATATAGTTATAGCTAGTTTTTTTAGTAGAAGCTATACTAACTATTATTATGGTAGTAAGGGTACCCGCTACTCCTTCTATAAGTACTTTTATATAATATTTTACGGACCATAACTGATTTAATAGATACTTATAGGTACTACTCCTGCCGGCCCTACTCCCGCTAATTTTTCCTCGCTTTCCCGGGTTACTACCGGTAGTTATATAGGTAACCAGGTTATTCCTGGTAACTTATCTTTGTATATATATATCTGCTACGGATTATTATAGACCGTAACTAATATATAAATAGCCTGCTATACTACTGCCGCCTGCTACCGCCGCTTACTTACTTCCTCTCAGAAAATATACCGTTTTACTGAGCTCTATAGGGAACTAGTAGCTCTTTATAAAGAGGAGGTAGAGGTACTAGAGAAGGAGAAGGAGACGGATTATTCGGTACCGGAAATAGAGAATAGAGAAAAGTAAGGGAGAGAGGAAAGGAAGAAAGAGAGAGAGAGAGAGAGAGAGAGAGAGGAAAAGAAAGAGAGGGAGAGTTATAAATCCTATAAAAGATTACCTGGAAGAGGTATATATTTTTAATATCTAATAGTATAGTATTCTTGGTTTATTTAAGTTCTAAAATATTTAAAATAATAATTGCAAGTTATTTATAGATAAATATAGATACTTATAGGTAGTTACGGATAGTTACGGATCCCTAAATCCCTTAATCTGACTTATAAGGCTACCCGGTACCTATAAGATACCTATAAGAGATAAAGTACTAAAGTAAATTAGCTAAGACCTCAGGATAAGTTATATTAAGTATTCTAGATAGATTCTTATATAATAGAAGAATACTTAAGCCTTCTATAGATAATATACGAGAAATCCCTATATAAAACTACCTATAAGTAAATATAGGCATTTATAGGTCCAAACTAATAGTATAAAAAAACTAATCTTATAACTTATTAATAGTTATTATAAAATATAAACGGACCGGAAACTACTTCCGGGAAAGGGTAATCCCTAGGCTAGTATCTATAACAGATAGCTTGATTTATAGAATTACCCGTAACTAGCTATTAAAATCCCCTTCAAATAAGTAGGCCTTAATATAATATATTTATAAGTTTATAACTACTATCCGGGTCCTATTATATAAACCTTCTTATAGATATAGGTTCTATAGAAGTAGTACCAGAGCCCTAATCTTAAAAGTAAGCTGAGATAGTAATAAGAAAGGAAGATTAATACTTTATAGCTACTTTATAAGTAATTTATATAAGTTATTACCCAAAGACTTGTCTATATCCAGGGAATCTACCGATTAGTATATCTGTAATTGGCCTAGTAAATATCCAAGGATATAGATATTAAGCTCTAAAACCGTAGTATTTAATATAGTTAAGAGGTATTACCTATAGAAGGTTAATAGATCTGTAATAGCCCGAGAGAAAAGATCTAGGAGGTAAATATAGCTAATTAGATCTGTAATTAATACTAGCTAGTTTATATAATCCGGAATTATTACTATTATATTAGGGTCTGGGTTATTAGGTAATTTACTAATCTAGTAAATAAACTCCTGGCTATTCTCGCCCTTATAAACCCGTATATTAGTCTATAAGCGGAGTTGCTTGAGCTATAGCCAAATAAATAATTATTAAAAATATATAGTAATAATATTAGCCTATAAATTATATAATATAACTAGAAGGATCTGGGTAAAGTCCCTACCGAGAATTATAGGTACTTCTCTAAAGAGAATATTATCTATTATAGATTATAAATTTACTAAGAGCTAGTAAATAACCTTAAAGTAGTATTTATACTATATTAATATCTTGTTCTAGATAATAAGATCTATAGACCGGAGGATCTATCTAAGGATACTCTATTTTATAATAGAACTTATAGATAATTTATAAAACTTAATTAGAATTTTAAACTAGAAATAAGATATATATCCGTTTAGTAGTAAGAAAGCTATAATACCCGTAAATACTATATAAAGAACTATCCGCCTCTGCCTATAAAAGTAATAGTAAAGCGCCTTATATAAGAACGTCTTACCTATATCTCCTGGCCCTTATAAGTAGAAGTGGGCTATTTGCAGATCTGATTTAATAGCTATAATAATCTCTATAAAGTATAATTACTAATTAGGATTAAGCTAGGCTTATATTATAATTGCAAATAATACCTGGTTCTTAAAAGTATATAATATAAATAAGAAACGGTACTTACTAGTCTAATTCTAGATAAAAGACAGGAGCCTATAGTCTGCAAGTAACTATTACTAGTTCATAAGCCTACTTATAAGTAAGAAAAGGCCATAATTGTAATATGGGTTAAAAAACGGAAATAGGAAACTACTATTACGGATAAGCTAGTACTAGAAGTTATTATAGAAGTAGTACTTATACCGGTTCCAGATTACTAATAGGTCCGTAATTAGCTATTAATAAAGGCTAGTTAAGAATAATATCCATAAATTACCTATAGGTATAAATAGGATAGCCTTATTAAAATACTAGTATTACTCCTAGTTATTCTCTATTAAGTTATAGGTAATATAGGTAGCCTGATATATTAAATAATAGATACTCTTAATAAAATATAGATCCGTAAAGAACTATAGTCTGTAAATAACTATAAATAAGAGCCGTAAATAGTACCGCTTGCCCGAAATAGGGCTATAGTAATATATATAGCTAATCCGGTTACCTTTACCTTACTAGTAATGTTTCTATTCCCGGGTTTTTGGAACCTATATAAACTCGGCCAGAAACTCGGAATATAAGTACTTCCGGCTATTCTTATATATAGTATTATACTCAAAGAAGGCTATTAGGGTTAAACGGGCATTTGCGGTCTTTATAACTAGAGCTATAGGAGAGATATTATCCGGAAAATAAACTATTTATTTACCCTCAAAATAGACTATAAGATACTAAATAGGAGAGAACTCCTAATATATAGGGAATTCGAATAGCCACCAAATAGCCTTATATAGACTTATATAACGGATATATATATACCGGGTAATCTTATTATTTATAGCCGTAACTGCAACTATTATCCGGTCTATTCTTTTATATATATATTTATAAATATACTTAATTACTTATATAGATATATAAACCTCGATATTAATATATAAGCGGAACTTCTAGAGGAGGTACGGGTTATATAGAATAACCTAGCGGTTATTACGGACAACTTCCTGGCCTGGGAAGCCTGGTTTATAGACTATAAATATTTGCCTATTATTTTAATAGTAGTATTCGGGATAGCTATCCTTATTAATTACGGTACGGTCCGTAAAAGCCTTCGGAAACCTCTTAGAGTATACTAACGGGCTATAAGCTTCTTTATAGACCATATATAGGGCCTGTATATAGTCTTCCCTATACGGACTATAGGATATATTACCTGTAACCAAGGCTAGGAGCTTGCCTATAGAATCCTATAACGGATCCGGTAGCTTAGTATATATAACCTTATCTATATACTTAAGTATATTGAACTTTATAGATACTTATAGGAATAAGAATAAGTATAAATACGGGAGTCCTTATTTCTAATACTTAATTATATAAATATAGCTCGTATACTATCCGAAAATATGGTTTTTTAGATCTATAAGAAGCTCTTGGACCTTAAGTCGAAATATACAAGTAATTAGATCTGGCCGGTCTATAGGTTATAAGTTATATAGCTCCTAGATAATCTCTAGCTATTACGGGTTTACTATAAAGGTAATAAAAAAGGTAGGCTTTCCAAAATAATAAATAATAGCTATTGAGTCCTGAAAAAGCTATTATATAAACCGATTCCTGCCTGTAAAAAAGAAAGGAAGAATAAATTAATAGTCTAGATTAGCCAGTAAGATATTTTTATAGATAAGAATATTTGCTAAGCCATTATATATATCTATACGGATCTTATCTTAATATAAACGGAGCTAATTAAGGGATATAGTTTTATAGGTAATAAAAGCATTCATAATATATTACTAAAAGAGCCGGTAAGTATAAAAGAGAAAAGATACCTTATAATTACAGGTATATAAACGGAACCGGTAAAAGGGCCGCTACTCTAAACGGGTCTGTTAACGGGTATAACGGGCATTCCATAAGGTTATCTTATAGTACTACTCATATTTACTATATAGAAAGAGGAGTATATAGTAAAGTAGTATATATACTATATAAGTAATAGCTACCTGGTAGAGTTACGGACCTTAATAGCCAGGCTTATAGACTATAAGAAGGATATTATATTAACTCTCGTCTATAAATTTGTCCGGAAGGATTCCTGCTAGCTCTATAGCTATAGGGAGGTTCTTATAGTAATAATCTACCCCAGACTAGAGAATTAGGTATATTTGCAGGCTAAGAAGAATCCGGAAATAACCTGTTTAGCTAGCTAATTGCTTCCGGGCTGTTTTATAAATCCGTATAAAGAAATTATAATCCGTAAGTATTTTATAGAGGCTATAAAGAATTATATAATCGAGTAGCAGGCAGTACTATACCCGGAAATTCGTAATATAGTCTAGATTATAAAAAAATAACTAGATAAAGGCCGGAACTTACTATAAGCCTGGCTCTAAGGGTCCTTAGTAGTAAAATAGCTCCCTATAGATCTGAAAGCAGTAAAGACCGTAAGAAAGGTTAGTATATATGTCTTTAGTATAGCTTACGGATATAAAAGCAAGTATAGAGTTATATATCCTAATATTCTAATAAAAGTTACGGGCTTATGGATTATTTCCCTTAAAAAGCGCCTGTAAAAAGGGCAGAGATATTCATAACTCGTTCAAGGCCATATTTCCCCTCTTATAATAGAGTTCAAACTTTCGATCCGTATCTGCAATTACCTCTAATACCCAGTACCTCGCTATATAATCCTCGCATTCCGTATCTATTAGACTAAGATTATGAGCGGACCGGTTCCGGAATCGCAAACAATAGCTAATAGGCAAGATGGCAGAAGGAGGAGGAGGAGAAGGAGGAGGAGGAGAAGCCCCTACAGGCTAGCTACGGGCCGTATCTAGCTTATCGTGAGTTTAACGGATCCGTTTTCGAGGTCAAGGGTTATCCTCGTCTGTAAGAGGCCGTATCGGTCCGGTACGGGTCTGTTACGGGGCATTCAGATTAATATCTATAAGAGGAAGGCGCCTTGCAGCCCGTTTGGCCTAAAGAAGGTCAGTAACCAAGTATATAAGTTAGGGGAGCAAGAGAGAAAAGAGACCTTATATTGCAAATACGTCTTATACGGGTTCCCCTTAAGATTTAGAGGAAACCTGCTATATTAGAAGTATTATCTGTAACCGGTATAATAGTATAATAGGGAAGAATTTATATTTGTACGATTATAGGCTAAATAAAAGACCGAGTGACGCATGGGGAGCGGCAGAGAGCTTTGGTGTTCCTGGAGCGAGTAATGCATAGGGGGCTTGGGGTCAAGTTTTGGTGTTCCTCACGTGACCAGTTTTTTAACTGGTGGTCCGACCGTACGACAGTGTTATATAGACGAGTTTAGGGCCGCTCCGCTAAAATTATCGCTAGCGGCCCTACGCAAGCTCCGGGGCTAGTAATAATTTTGCCCTAAACTCGTCCCGAGTAATTCTTTAAAAAAATACTTCTTAATAATAAACTTTTATAAACCTTTAATAAATTATATAAGAAAGAAAATAACTTATAAATTATAAAATTATTTATAAATAAGCTAAAACTATTCTTTTAATTTATATTTTATTTATAATTTCTTTTAAATTTTAAGTTTAATTAAATTTAATTATTATTAAAATATTATTTCAAATTATAATATAATTATATAAAAAGTCTTAATATTATTAATAATTAAATTTTAATAATATAAATACTTTAAATAAAAACTAAAATAAATAAGTTTTAAAAATCAAAGAAAATTAATTTAAATTCCTTTTATAATTCTTTTATTAATAAATATTATATAAAGAAAGGTTTTAGTAAAAGTAATTTATTAATATTAAATAATATTTTTAATAATTTTAAAAAATAAAAGCTATTATATTATATAATAGAATTATTATTAAAAGTTAATAATTTTTTTAATATATGTTTTCTTTAATATAAGATATTTTTATTAATTTATATTAAAATAAATTTTTTATATATATAAAAGATTTTAATTAAAAGAGCTTACTAAAAACTTTATATTATTAAATATATTAAAAATATAAACTATTTTTAAAATCTTTTTAAATTAAAATATTTAAAAATATATTTTTTAATTTAAAAGTTATTTTTATATTTTTATAAATTAATAAAATTAAATCAAATATAATTTACTTTATATATTTCTTATATTTCTTATATTTTTTATATTTTTTATTTTTTTATATTTTTTATATTTCTTATATTTCTTATATTTCTTATATTTCTTATATTTCTTATATTTTTATATTTCTTATATTTCTTATATTTCTTATATTATTTTTTTTATATTATATTATATTTTTAAATAATTAATTTTATAAATTCTTAAACTTTAAACTTAATATAATTTCTTTAAATTATTAAAATTACTAATTATATATTTTAATTATATATATATAAGAAATTATATTTATAAACTTTTATTTAATATATTAAATTTAGTTTATTTTTATCTTTTTATTTCTAATATATATTAATTAAAAATTATAAAAATTATATTTATAAAGCCTTTTCTTTCTTTTTATAAATTAATAAAATAAAATTAAATATAATTTATATATTTCTTATATTTTTTATATAATATATTTTTTAATTAATTTATAATTAACTTTCTTTTATTAATTTAATTTATAAAATTCTTTTTTATATTATATTATTTATTTTTAATTAATTAACTTTATAAATTCTTAAACTTTAAACTTAATATAATTTCTTTTAATTATATATATATAAAGAATTATATTTATAATCTTATATTTAATATATTAATTTTATTTTAATTTTATTTATTATTTCTAATATTATTTTTATAAAGCTTTCTTTACTTTTTCTTTTCTTTTCTATTCTTTTTTAAGCCTTATTTATATTTATAAAACTTTTTACTTTTTTTTATAAATTACTATAATTTTTATTTATATATATAAAACTTTCTTTTTCTTTTTATAAATTCTTATAATCTTATTTATATATATAAAGCTCTTTTTCTCTTTTTATAAACTCTTTTAAGCCTTATTTATACTTATAAAGTTATCTTATAAATTATTATAGCTTTTATTTTTATTTATAAAACTTTTTCTTTTTTATAAGTTTTTTTTAAACTTTACTTATTTTTATAAATTTCTTATTACTTATATTCTTATTTATAACTTTCTCTTAATCTTTACTTATATTTATAAAGCTCTTTTTTTCTTTTTATAAATTATTATAATTCTTTTTCTTAGTTATAATTCTCTCTAAGCTATCTTATAAGCTTATAAAGTTTCTTATTTCCTTATATAAACTATTATAGCCTTTATTATTACTTATAAAGCTCTTTTTCTTTTATAAGCCTTTCAAAGCTTATTTCCCTTAAGTTTCTTATTAATTATATTTTTATTTATAATTTCTTTTTAGCTTTTACTTATATTTATAAAGCCTTTTCTTCTTTTAATAAATTATTATAGCTTTTTCTCTTACTTATAATTCCCTCTAAGCTATTTTATAAGCTTATAAAGCTTTCTCTTTCCTTATATAAACCCTTATATCCTTATTCTTATTTATAAAGCTCTCTCTTATACCCGTAGAACTTCCCTTAAGCTCGTACGGTATGTGATATGCAAAAGTTTTAATGTTCCTCACGTGACTTGTATTTTTAGGGAGTCCCGAGAGCTAGCCAGAGCCTTGAGAATTCCCCCCCGAGCTTTAAAAAATCGCAATAAAAGCCCCTCGCATTCCAGAACCACTAAAATAGAGAGAAAGGTACTTGAGCTGCTTCTCTCTAATCCCCAGCTAAGCGCTAAGGATTTGGACATAATCGCGTTCCGATGCGCGATTCCCTAGAAGGGGGCGATTCTGGTGTTCCTCACGTGACCAGTTTTTTTCCAGGAGTTCCGGGAGCCAACCGGTTAAGGGTGGTCCGAACGTAGCTCAATATAAAGAAGTGAAGATGTAAATCCACGCAATCAGAAAACCTCGCGACGCACCCCTGTCAAAACCAAATCACCCTGGGAACGCCACACACCCAAAAACGGTCTTTCGCGCCGCCTCACAGCCAATTTCCAATATTTGCCAACCCAGAGGGGCTTGCCACAAACGTGAGAAATGAGAATGCAAGGTGATTACTCTCTTGGCAGTATGCTTGGCGGGGTGTATTAAGGGCCATGATCCCACCGCTTCTGAGCAAGACCTCTGTGAATAGCAAGTGCGATTCGCATACGAGTAACACAGTAAATATATTTTAATTAACCACGCAAAGGAAAAGAGAAAGACGACAAAGAGGTTCCAATTTGAGAGCCTTGCTTTGGGAGGGAAGATAGATATGGCAGAGTGGGGGTTTAAAACACTTTTTGCGGCCGCACTTTTGCTTGTGCTAGGACTGCGAGGAGTGGGCGTCGAGGGGAGGATCCAGTTGACGAAGCAGCCAAGGTACTTGGTTCCTCCCTCTCCATCCTCCATCCTCCATCCCCCCAATCGATCTCCAGCTCCCCACTTCCCCTTTCCCGCACAACCCCTCCTCATCCCAGCAGCATTTCATCTAACCGTCCGTCAGCAGACTAGCGATACTCTTCGCCGGGCCCGAGTTCTCGGGAAACTACTTTTCTGTCGAGGGGTTCTTTGGAAGCTGTTACAACGTGCTGAAAGACGGCGGCGTGGGCTCCATCACCCTCGAATCTGGGACAGGCCATTGTGAAGTCTGGGGCGTGGCAGGATGTGGTGACGGTGGCGATGGTATGTCTACCCCCTCGTTTCCTCCCCAAACAAAGAGGACATTGAGAGAGGACAAATTTTGGAGTATGAGAGATTTAGGCAGGGCTAACAAGAAACAGGGAAGGATAGACCGAAAACGGTCTTCCAGGCTACGCCGACGCTTATTTGGAACCGGAGAGCGAGGACGAAGGATGAGGTGAAGAGGGAGGGGGGTGGTGTGAAGAGTATTCGTTGTTTTGAGAAGATTGCTAGCGAGGGCAAGATAAAGTTACAATGAATGGACACGATATATCGAAATGGAAATTTACTTTTCAAGACGCAAAGAATCGAGGGACGATTTATGCACGGTAAGAGATGCGAGGGGAACAGGTATGTGAAAATCATGATATGATTATGGTTCCTATGGCAAATGCCAGCAAAAAGTGGAGCAGAGCTCATTACGACAAAGTGGTATCTTCTGTTTCATTCCTGTCCTCCCCTCCCGATTCATTCGGGGTATTATCAACGCAGAGAGAAAAGTTCTCCTATCCTATGCTATCATATCCCATCCCATCCCAACTAATTACCGCCCTTAACCAGCATGAGCCGTCGCCTCAGCGTGATCCAAATGCTTCTCTTCACTCAATACCTTCGTCGGCGTCTCTTCATCGACCTCCCGGCCCAGATGGCCATCAGGCAACATATTCAGATGGTCCTCCTCCTTGTCTAGGTCTCTATACTGGAACCAGAAGATCGTGCCGCCGATAGCTGAGAGGACGCCCATAACGCCATAGTTCCACACCAACAGCGGATCCGCAGACAACGAGACGAAGGCTTCGCCGATGGCGGCGGAAAGGGCGGACTGGAAGAGGAACATGGACATCACGAGAGATCGCATGTTCTTCGGTGCCTTGGAGAACGCGTACTCGAGACCGGTGATGGAGGCGAGGATCTCGGAGATGGCGATCAGGACGTAGGCGCCGGTTTGGGCCCAAACGTTGATGTCAACTGGTGCGCAGGGCGTCACGCCGTCGGCGAGGTAGCCCGAGGCGTTGTGGCCGCACTCTGACTTTTTGTAGATGTAAGCCTGGATGACGGCCGCCCAGACCATGGCCATGGCGCCGGTGTAGAAGCCCCAAGTGATCTTCTTGATTGGCGTGAATTGGATCTTCATCTTTCGGAGCCAGGGCCAGAGGAAGAGGTCGCAAATCGGGATCAGGATGATGAGCGCGAAGGGGTCGAGGTTCGAGAGGACGTCGTTGGGGAGCCCATTGAGCTTCATGACGGCGGCTTGCGAGACCAGGTTGTTGTTCAGCTGGTTATAGGTGAGCCAGTAGAGGGGGAACCAAAGGAAGACAGAACAAGCGTTGAAGCCGCGGCGAACTTCGTCGACCCAGGCATCGTCGAAGGTCATCCACTGTGGGCGAGTTGCAGGATCGAATTTGGAGGGCTTAACGTTCTCCCAGAATGTGCCGTCGTGCAGGTGCTTGTAGGTCGTGACGGGGTTGAAGTGCCAGCGGCCTTTATTGCCAAGAAGGAAGAGGTGGCTTGCTTTGCCGAGAACGGATCCGGCGGGTGGTGTACGGATGTACCTGTTGCGACCCCAGAGGACGACGAGGGGGCAGGCACACAGCAGAACGGTGGGGAGGAGGAAGGCAAGCCAGAAGCCAACCCATTTCTCGGCATACACCATTCCAATCTGGCCAACCAGGGCGCCGATGTTGATGAACAGGTAGAAGTAGTGGTAAACTCGGGATTGCGTGACTGTAGGATCAACAATGACGCGCTCGCCAGACGGGAGGTCGCGAGTGATCATCTTGGTTAGGGGCAATTGCTCGGCAATCAAGGGGGAGATGTTGGACTTGAAGGCACCCGTGCCAATGCCCATAATGATCAAGCCAATCACAAAGCAAGCAAGAGAGTTGCTCGAGTGGACGATGACAGTCGGTATAGCAGAAACAGTCAGGATGATGTGGCCGGTGATGGCAATGGCAAGTGCCCAGCAAATCGTTTTGTACCGTCCAAGATACGCGTCTGCAACCCATGCACCGAAGAGGGGCATAACGTAGACCCAGAACTGATTGAAAGTTCCAATACCAGTTGAAGCTCGCTGGCCGAAATTCAGGGCCCCGGATTGGCCATCATGACCGGCTCCAGTGCGAGAGCCCTTCGGGAGTGGTTGTTGGATGTAGTTGGTGACTGGCAATTGTCAGCGACAGGTTGTCTGTCACAATGGACTTTAACTTACAAACTACCGTAGTTCCATAGTACGAGAATCGTTCACACAACTCTACGAAGGCGAGAGCGAATGCCTTCCACGGAACGTGGCCAGGTACTCGACGAAGCGAATGCAACTCTTCTTCAGTTGGGAATTCGCCGGTCTCAGTGTCGTAGTAGCCAGTGGCATCTTTTCCTCCATGTTTAGCACGATGGGGAAGCTCAGTCGGTTGTCCTTCGTACACCATAGGAAGGGTCGTGGCGTGGTCAGAAGCCGGGCCCTCGTGTCTAAAGTCGGGGCCTTGAGCAAGAGATGGGTCAAGCTTTGCGCCTGCGGCGGCGTCGTCAATGTTGGTAGGCATTGTCCCAGCTTGGATGAAGGTTGAAGTGGGCGATGGAAAGGAGTGGGGAGGGGAAGCTGCGTGTTACGCTGTGTCGTATATTTGGGGTGGGTCATGCGTCGAGCTTTATATGCTCCGCTTCGAAACTCAAGATGCAACAGCCCGCACCACCTCTCCCATTCACCCTGCCACTGGTAAAGGTAAAATGTTGGCAATCCCTTGCACCATCCAGTGATTACCACAAAGATAGCGGCAATCCCCTAGCTCCTTCTTTTTCCCAACTGCCAAAAATCCAAGGGGAATCATGCCATAATCCTGGCTATCGGCCAAGCCGTTGATCAGCCTCGCGCCCCTCGAAGGCTTCCCCTTCCTATCTCGCCCTAGGCCTCCGTCGATCCTGGCCCAGTTACACTCCAGACTCGAGCGTCGATGTGTGGGAGGTCCAGATAAGGAAGCTCAGGGAAGTCGACTCGAGGGGCAAGGGGGGCGGAGCTAGAAGGACCGAAGAAAGGGCTTCCCTGCGTGACATTAATTTTGCTACGATTTTGATTTGCGCTCGGCGTTCAGCCACCCAAATAGGTTTCGGCTAGTAGTGGCAGTTGATGAAGGCTGGGAAAATTTTGCAGCCAATTGGAACGCACAGGCTGTATGAGGGACGCTGGGTTGTGTAACTCCATCACCAAAACTTGAGGCAAGGAGAATCCGTCTCCTTGCAGGTTGATAGAAGACACAAGCCAATGATGTGGTGGCGATTGCACCTTCGCAATCAATGGGGGAGGTTCCTAGTGGCACAAGACTAGCATGTGATATATTAACATACGAGTCGAGGTACTACCGTACATAACACCAGGACGCCATCTGAGTGTTGGGGATGGATAAGCCAGGACAAATTGTTTCGTCGAAGATAGCATAAGAAGCAAATAAATCGGACGTTTTAAACTGGATTAGACGTGGACATCGAAGATGCGGTTTGGGGGAGGGTTCTCGTGGCCGTGGCATTGGCATTGGCATTGGCAGTTGGCAGTGGCAGTGGCACCACTCGGAGGTCGGGTGGTTGCCACCACACTTCGTTGGCCCGCAATTGCGGGGAAGGCACCGAGGCCACTCGGAAGTCCATGCGGGAAGACTGCGCCAAGGAGAAGGAATGGAGGAATGGGCGATCACGCCAAAGCGAGGAAGGCTTGTGTGGACGTTTCCCCCGGCCTCTTACCCTCGTACTGTAGTAACCCATCGCTCTCCCACGGTCAAAGAAAGGTCTAACTCGGCGATAGTAGTCGAATCGGCAGGCATTTGCCACAATTGCCGTCTAGCGGTCCACGTACCGCGCTCCGTGAATATGCGACCCGTCCGGGCGAATATTGCAGGCTGTCATGAAAACTGAAGAAAGAAGTTGGTGAGCCGAGGACTGAGGTATGGATGACACCGTGGCAGCAGGCATGACGGTGAGGGCTGGACGCTGGCTGAAACCGACGATGCTCACTGGAGTCGCCGCCAGCCAACGCCGGGCCTGTCTGCACGCCGTGTTCTCGAACTTCTCGAATGCGCCGCTTGGCGGAAAGCCTCCCGAACACAAAACAGGAAGGTGAGTATCGATCATCAATTGCGAAGGAAAATCAGGAGTTTCGACAACGAGCGGTTGGAATTGGATCATTGGATCCTCAGCGACCGGCGGAATCCGAGTTGGCGACGTGGGGATCATACCAGCAGCCGCAGCTGAAGGTCAGGTTTCTGCAGCACGATTTCCCTCGTCCGGACAATGAACTCCCACAACATAGGGGGTGGAATGTTCAGTTATCTCCCTCAAAACTTCACTTGAGGTTGGAACAAAGTTGTTCGAGAAAGAGACAGTATGGTCGACCGAAGAATTCCCCGATGGGTACTTTATCTCGCCCATACCATTTTAGGAAGGCGCTGTGGGGAGATAAGTCATGTGATCAGCATCACGTGTATGGTCAAAACATCGCACCTCACTTTCCTTAGTGTCGGCTTCCGTGTACGACTTCACTTGTTATTCTTTTGTGATCCTTGCTAATCTTGTAGACTTGTCAGGAAAGATGATTCTGTTGGCTATCGGGAAAACACACTGCAGCCACCAAACAGGGTGGAGGGCTTGCTCAGCCGCAATTGAAACGACATGTACTTGACTCGATCACATCAGCTGGACCTGGCATCTTCAGTCTTCAATCAATTGCGCGATCCGGCACAGAAGCCTTCTGGCCTTTCTCACAATTGCTCTGATCACAGCCAAAAGAGCGCTCTGCAGCGGTGATTTTATTTCCGATGCTCTGAGTCAATTGGCTGTTGCCTCCATATCCAGCCAGACGGACAGCAGATGGGCCAGACTTGAGTGGAGCTTGTCCCTCTTGCTTACTCTTATATATATCGACCCCTTCGAGGGCCTCGACGTTAACTCCTGCCGCCCCGGGGTACATCTGCGGTCATTGGGGGCGATGGGAGAGCTACAACGATCTCAGGCAGGGAGCATTTTGGTGCAAGCCCTGCCGCGCACTACGAGCTTAGTTTCGCACTCATTTCTCTGCCCGCTTTGAGAGAGAAACTAGAGACATGAAGCGGTTGGATGATGAAATCTGCTCACAATTTCCATCGGCTCCTGATATTCCAGGTCAAACCACCTCGTTTCAGCTTCGCTCTTTGGACACGGAAATTCCAGCGCATTGGAATTCCATTCAACTAATAAACAACAACTTTTTTTGACTCAGTCATCGAGGCCCGTTGTGGGAATGCTACAATGGAATGTGTAGTCATTTTGAAGATAGGCACTCCATTTTTTATTTCTGGTAGGTTGGTTGGCTGAACCATTTTGTCTTAGAAGAGAATGTTGCTAATACTTGCCTGAAGGGGATCACGATGGTAAAGCATTTAGCTTCGCTCGTTCCTGGCTGACCAGTAGTCTCTCCGGACAAGGAACTGGACTGGGCTTGCAACAACAACAGTCTTTGCTTCGCACTAGGGTACTCGACTTGGGGAAATACGAAAAGCCACGGGAATTACTAGCTCGATTTCAGTCACGCCCAGACCCTCTCACAGCTCCTATCCGTCTGATTTCTCCCGAGGTTGGTTCAACGGGAGAGTACCTGACCCTTAGTCACCGTTGAGGTGAAAGTCAGCAATTCACACTAAACCGTAAATCATCCGAGTCCTTTCATGACAACATTCCTTTTGTATCTCTGCCAAAGACCTTTCAAGATGTCGTCACAGTCACTAGGAAACTCGGCTATCAGTTTCTTTGGATTGATGCATTGTGTATCCTTCGAGATGACTTACAAGCGTGGCTGCGGGAGGCACCGAAGATGTCATCGATCTACTCCGAGTCTACTTGCACAATAGCAGCACATGGTACAAAAGATGACAATGAAGGGTCTTTAACTGCCACATTGGAGCCAGTTCCATTACTAAAGTTACCTCCTCGGCCTCGGCTCAGAGGCTGACGTCTCGAAGCTTATCCTTGGGCGGTGTTTCAGAGAGCAGGTCAACGAGAGTTTTCTGACTCGGAGAGGGTGGGTCTTTCAAGAACGTATACTATCGCGCCGCATTCTTCACTTTACTCGACATCATGTCTTTTTCGAAGATGTTTCAGGGGTCCACGCAGTCGATGCGGGCGCCAGCCCTCCGCCTTGGACTCACCAGCCTTGGAGAGACGACAAATTGGTGGTTCAAAATGTGGTCGCAACAATGGCGGACTGGTACAAGTTGGTTGAAAGATACAACATTTGCGCTCTCACTTTCGACCGCGACCGGCTACCTGCCGTAGCCGGTATAGCCCGATTTGTTGCAAGCTACGATTTCGCTCGTGAATACCTCTTCGGGCTCTGGAGCAAGTCTTTGCATCAGGGTCTCCTATGGGTTGCTGCAGATAACTCACCGCAGGAGGTCTTCTATGGGCTAGATTATGACGGTCCACCGAGGCCACCATCTTGGTCTTAGGCCCGATGGAAATGAAGCATTCTATTTCCACGCCATATTGCTGGATCCACACCTCTCCTCCAACTCGTGGACAATTTTGCGCCCCTTACCCTGTTAGATTCAAGCCCCGCACAGGACTCACGTTTCTTGACCATCCGAGCTGAAGTGATGGATCTCCAAGGAGTCATGGCCCCCAGATCCAGGGGCCTGCCGGGCAATTCAGTTTCGATCCTCCAATACATGGCCTCTACATCCTCGATGGGTCTAAAGTAGGACTTCTGAATTGGGTAGCGTTCGATGGCGGGAAGCAGAACAACCTCTTCTTCCGGAGCCTTTCATCTGTTCTCGTTTCTCATTATGTAACCATAAAGTGACTATACGAGGGTGATGCGGAACGGACAATGCCCTGTCGTCGTGTCGTCTGGTATTTTATGCTTCTTGTGGAAGCGGCCTCTTCTTGTTATCGGAGGGTTGGGATAGGAGCAAGGTTTGGGCATCGTCCTTTGGATGAAGATCTTGTGACGAAGACCCTACGAATCGAATAAGAGCGATTTCCACTTGTGTACAAGTTTCTTCTACTTTATCCCGTACTATCACAACACAGATATTAACGAGAAGGTTTCATATCGAGACATGCGCTTTAGTGCATCCCAACCTAAGGAAACGTGGTTCTCTAGACTCTCCAACGGCCCTTACGTTCCCACGCTGACTGTTCAACCATTTGTATAACCGTGGTTCCATAGGTACTTCAGCTCTAGATTGCCGGTAAAGATTTCAGGAACATTCGAACAAATAGCTAGATTTGATCTCGCTTCTAAAGCGCAGTGTTCTTGTGGGAAGGCACCAGTGTGGATGACATCATGTGACACCGTATCACGTGAAGTCCTTCAATCCACTGAGAAAGGACGAAGAAATCATCTCAGGAAGCTTAACACTATTCAATAAACCAAACACTTATCTGATTATCGAAGCTATAGATGAACTGGGACCTGAGTTTCCCATATCGCAGCTGGTCTCCTGAGGATGACTGCTTAGGTAAGCTTCTCAACTCACAACGTTCTCCCTCGATGTCAACTCTTCACTCTTCAACACACCTACGATGGAAACCGTCCTGTCTCCTCCTGCACCTGCAGGACTATTCACGGAGTGTGATGAGGCAACACCATCTCTCTCGCCCCCGAAGCAACCACCACACAAGAGGAACCGCACGCAACTCAGCTGTACGAACTGTCGCCAAGCCAAGTTGAAATGCGATCGACAGAAGCCGAACTGCTCGCAATGTGTGAAGAAGGGACGAGCTTCCCTATGTACTTTCCCATCTCCTGCTGCTCGGAAGAAGCCAGCAGTGAGCATGCAAAACCGACTGAGACATCTCGAGACCCTCGTCAAGGATGTAATGACGGGGCAGAGCCCGTCCGCTCCACCTATCGACCAGAATGCCCCCAACGGCTGTAGAAAATCGTTCTCGAACAGCCCCTCCATCCCCGGTGCGGACTTCGTACACTATCACCAGAATGACGCCGCAGCAACCTCTGCGGCATCCTCGGGCCAGGTCCTTCTCGGATCAAGCGAGTCGACGTACGTTGGAGCGACTCATTGGGCTGCTATCCTGGAAGACGTGAGACTCCCCAACATGTTCTCAACAACAGCTAACAAGCTCTAGATCGACGAAATGAAAAGTTACCTCGACGAGGAAAACGAGCAAGACGAAGAGGAAGACGTCAAATCGTACACCTCACTCATCTTCAATGCTCAATCACCGACGACAAAGAACGAGCTTCTTGCAGCTTTGCCACGGCGCACGGCTGTGGATCTTCTTGTGTCTCGATACTTTAATTCTAATAGTCCCGCATTGCGTATGTTCCATACCTGCAAACTGCATGACTTTCATATGCTGATATACTTTCAGCCATCCTTCACCGACCAACATTTCAGAGAAATGTATGTCAGATTATCTCTATTACCTTACAGGCAAAGGAGTCTCTATTCTAGCTAAACATATCTCGAGTGAGAATCTCCGACAGAACTTCTCGAGTTTCGTCCTCATTGCATCTTTTCTTCTTCATATGCTCCATCTTACACACTCTGCGTCGTCCATTATCCGCAACCCTCCAATACACAATGAATTCCGCACAGCAACTTTTATTATCCCGGTTACTGACTCCATCACAGTATCGAAATTTCTGGGCCGACCCTGAAAGCACTCCTGTCGTTTACCTTGGCCTGCTGTACTCCATCATGATAGTTGCAACTCTTGCTGCACTAGGAGCTAGTGAAGTCAGCCAGGTCAACCGCGCAAGCGCCATGGAAACGGCCAGGACATATCGCGAGTGTTGCATTCAATGCTTGGTTCTTTCCAACTATACCAAGCCTGGCCCCTACACCCTCGAAACCATGTTTATATATATGGAGTCCGAGTTTCTGGTCAACAAAGACGATCAAGTTCAATCATTTCTCCTTGTGGGCAATGCCACTCGCCTTGCATTACGGATGGGTCTCCATCGAGACTCAGCCAAGGTGGGAGGGAACATAACACCATTCCAAGCAGAAATCCGACGGCGACTGTGGCATCATCTGCTTCAACTTGACTTGCTCACCAGTTTTCACATTGGCCTTCCAGGAACAATTCAAGCTATCGACAGTGATACTCTTCTGCCGGGAAACTTCCAGGATGAGGATTTCGATGAAGACTCCGCCGTCTTGCCCAATTCCAGACCAGATTCCGAAATAACCCCAATGTCTTACTCGATCTGCAAGAGCAGGTTATGCATTGTGGTAGGAAGAATTGTTGCTTTAGCGAATCGTCTCTCGCTTCCAGAGTACCAGGAAGTCATGACTTTGGATCGAGACCTGCAAATTGCATATCAGAAAATACCCCCGGCTTTCCTTCTCGATCCCAGAGGCCCTTCAGTAATAGACTCTCCTGCTACCACTATCAGACGATTCAGTGTTGCTATACTGTTTCAGAAGAGTAGATGCATGCTGCATCGCAAACATCTGATGAGAGCAGAGAACAATCCGGAGTTCGCCTTCTCACAGCGGGTCAGCTTAGAGGCTGCGATGGAACTTCTCCGCTGTCAATCGATGGTGCATGAGGCTGCTCTCCCAGGGGGTCAACTATCTCGTGATCGATGGTTTCTATCTTCTCTATCAATGCACGACTTTCTTCTGGCTGCGATGATAGTCTATCTGAGCCTCTCCCGTGGAACTAGAAGCTCCGGCGACCGACAAGAAAGGGTCAATGCTCTTGTGAAGTCTCGCGCAATTTGGAACCAGGAATGGACCGTCTCGGCGGAGTCGAAGAAAGCGGCAATGGTACTTGGGATAATGCTGAAGAAAGTGCAATCGGGAACTGGGGTCGGTCTATCGTCGACCGGTGCGCCAACATCCACCTCTGGTGCTGCTCAAGGGAGAAGGATCGATGGGGTCTCGAGTTTGTCGTTGAATGGTATGAATGTACTCATCTTGTCATTTCCAAACTAATCGTTCTTAGATCAAACAACCGCCCATAGGCAAATTTTTGACGCTATTCAGCCAAGTGCAAACTTAGTAGCAAGCTCGAGTGAGGACACGACACCTTCTTCAGGACTTGGAGTAGCTGCGAAATTTGACTTCACATCAGCGGAAATGGATCCCCTTGGCGCCATGTTCGATGTGCCCACTGACTTCGATTGGGTATGCCGTCCTTTTTACTTTGTAGCCCGCGCCAGACATCCACCATGTCTTGATCTAAGTCGCTGAGCTAACACTAAACAGGAAATGTTTGACACTCAACTTCGACCACAAGATGACGCTGGTCAGGCTTGGCCGGACATCGTGGGAGACTTCACAACCGAAAACGACGACTACAACAATTTCTAAATCACTTTCTAGAGCTAATAGTACACTAGTCACCCCAGTCAAAGCCCCCCTCAAAGAAACTTTTTCGTCTCCGTATTGCAATACTGAAAGAACTTCTCCGCAGCACCAGTACCTCCCTCGGCCTCACTTTTCAATCCATCCTCGAGCTCCTTTGGAAGATGTGCCTTTCGACCCCAAGCCATCAAATGTCCGCCGTTTTCCTTCTTGGTGATCTCAGGCGAGAATCCGGCATACAATTCAGAATATGCTCCATACACCGGTCCCTTATTGAAGAGGATACGCTACAACATATTTTCGTCAGCATTCCCTCCTCTAAATTTGATGGCGTGGGGACAACTTACCATAATCAAGCGACCAATCCAAGGCCAATGCCTCTGCAACTCCGTTCTCATCAACCCCGGGTGCAAACTCTACTACTCATCAGCTACACTCACCTCCAGCCAACCCAAGGGATACTCACTACGCTCAAAATCCCCTGGTCTCCCAACCGTTTCGCAAACTTATCCCCTAGCCACGCAGCACCAACTTTGCTCTGCATATAATTATCCATCAATTTCGCCAACACCACCGGTGTCCCGTCATCCTCAAACTTCATGTACGGACTACCTGCATGCAAGAGCGAGGTAATCCACACAATCCGCACGCTTCCTTCGGGCGTCCCAGCCATCTTCACAGTTCGGATGAGGATCGGTTCAAGGAGGAGAGTCATGAGATATGGCGCAAGGCAATTCGTACCAATTTCGAGATCGTGGCCCTGTTACCCCAGCCATTGATCAGCCCAACAACACCCAAGAGAGTGGGAAATGGTTAATATAATAACGAACCAATTTGTCCTTCGACCCAGCAGGCGGCGTCATAACAGCCGCGTTGTGCACAAGAACATCCAGCCTCTGCTCTTTCGCAAAGAAACTCTCCACAGCAAGCTTCACAGTCGCTAGGTCCGCCAAATCGACAACAATGCTTTCCAGTTTCCCTTTTCCCTTCCCTTTACCGCTTTCTGTGTGTTCTGTCTGCTCGAGGATTCTCGAGATGGCTCCTTCGCAACGAGAAGTCGAGCGAGCGGCAATGTACACCGTTCCTCCTGCGAGATAGAGCATTTTCGCAAGCTCGAAACCAACGCCTGACGCTGCACCGGTGATGATGATTACTTTTCCTTTCTGAGATGGGAGATTGGCATCTGTGAAGGTTGGGGCGGGGGGGAATGCAGCAGAGAAGGCAGAGATTTTGGGTTGAGGTGCCATTTTCGTCCTGGCGAATGTTGGTCAAGTCTGTATGTTGAATGAGGATTTATTGCTTATGAATGAAATAGAAAGGATGAAGGATAGATGGTAGCCAAGGGAGAGCTCGAGCTGTTTATATTCAAATGCTCTCGCCGGAGAAACGGGGCTCAACAGGCAATGATCCATCCTCCGATGTCCGTAATGCATGCGATCTATGTTCGGGGTATCTCCGTGTCCGCTGCCATCGTCAATCGCTTCCCTGTCAAAAGAAGAATATTCGGCCAGAAGAAGTGAAAGAGTCCGTACGGAATAAAGTTTTTCCTAGACCCGAACCCGAACCAGCAGGGATTACACACGTGATGACGCCTTTCTCGACCTCTCCAACCCCCAGATAAGTGTCACGGACTAGAAATCTCAATCAGGCCTGCGACAATTTCTAGCGATGGAACGGCAGGGCAAGGAAACTTTCAGCCTTGGTTTTCTCTCGTCCTTTTTCATACATTTGCTTAAGTTCCTCTTCCCTACAATTGCGAGACGAAAATCGAGAGTTTATCACGCTTCGAAAAATCTACCCTCTGATAGAGGCAACCTATATTGTATTGATGTTTTATGGAGTATTTGGCTTCCATGAATTGATTCTCTTATTTTTTTTCCAGCTTTAACTAAATTGATGATCAAAAGCACATCAAGTCCTCCGAGGATAATGAACTCCCTCAATCTTCACGCCGTCTTTTCCATCACACGTCCCCTTTAGCATAAACATGAGTTACATAACGACACAATCTCGCAAGAAGAGAATTTGCGTAGAAAAAGCGCCTTACGAGTACAACCTTAGGAACTTCCTCCTTCCGTTTTTACAAGGCATCCCCCTGATTGGGAGGAAGTTTAACATCACGTGATTTACACTGCAAGTCGATTATTCACACCAATTCCCGGTCCCCCACCATTCCGACTCGAGAGTCCAATCTCAACCGCACTTTGTTCGGTATGGCTCTGTGATCCAAAGCCTAGTTGCTGACGATGCAAGCAGGTGGCCCAGCAAACTTCCCCCGGCTTTATCCTCTCGCCGCTGAGCCGCTCAACCCCGGGTACGGGGGATAAAGCTGTCCACTGCCAAACAGCCCGGCAGAACTAGTGCCAATAGCCTGCAGAGCAAATATCCTGGGGAGCCGCAGTCTTGCCGGAGACGATCGCCTCAAGATGAGTAACGCAGTTGCCCCGGCGACTTCGGCTCGTTCCAAAGCAGGAGAATCATCAAACACTTCTGAGCAATCTACTTTCTTGTTCGTAAACGAGTCGAGCGGTGCCCCCAGATATAAGTCCGGAAACCGTAGCGATGTCCGGGCTCATGTCCGAAAAGTCTCTGCCAAGCAATTTGGTCTCACGCATAAGGTGCCGAGAAAACGAGCTGAAAGACTACCGAGATACGCTCCGTTGATGACTCAAGGCCTGGACTCGGTCACAATCAAAGGCTCGGAGCATCACCGAAACTGTCCGACAAGTGTTCCAAAGATACTCCAGGCTTCCCCGAGTAGCTCAAGTTCCTTACCTGCGGCCAGAACATTGATTGAGTTTACAGAATCGCCGAGCAAGACAATTCAAAGCCGTGAATTTATTAAAAGCTCAGAATCAGTCGAACCTCAAGGGCTTGGGACCGCACACTGCCATGCTTGTGGACTGCCCCTGGATAAACCAGGTCACAAACCAATAAACCAAAAGGAGCAGAGCAGTCTGATTCCAACGAAACGCATCCCGGCAAAGTCGAATCCCGTTGGGATTTTTGGGGCTGGTAGAATCGATCCATTTTCAAGTCTACCAATGGATGAGACAAGCAACTACGCACAAGAACTGCTGGACCACGGTGAGTGCATTCACATCCTCTCTCCCTTCAATTCCAATTTCATCTACAGAAAAGCTGACACTCCTCCAGCTGTCACTTACACGCTACCCGGTCTCTGGCCAGATGACGCGCCACCCGGCGAAGTTAATCCCCTCTCAAAAGCTTGGTTCACCTCCAGCTTACGCATGCCCCTTCTATTCCACGCATTAATCTACTCCGGTTCCAACCATCTCGACTACATGCGCCACTCTGCCATATACCCCAACGCCCCAAAACCTCTCTCACACAAATTAATTGTCATTCAAAAGCTAAACGCCGCGCTGTCAGACCCAAACCTGGCCTTACGAGATGAAGTCATCCTCGCCATCTTGATTCTCGCTTCACAAGAAGTATTTATCGGCAAGAAAGGAAAGCGGAACCCATTCAATTCCCCACTCCAAAGTCTGGGCTGGCTGAACGTGTATGGGAATTTCAAGTTTGTGCCGCAGCATACAAAAGCCGTTGCGGATATCATTATAATGCGAGGCGGGCTGGAAACGCTTGAACTACATGGCTTGGCGGAGATTATTGTATCGTGAGTTGCGGTCTAATCCTTTCTCCCCTTTTTCTACATTCAAGTTTACAGTTGACTCGTTCATTATAGAGGAGATGTCATTTCAGCCACCAATGCCCTCACAAAACCAGGCTGGCCCCAGCTCCGTCGCCTTGTAAACCTCATCACCTCCATCCGCGTCTGGGCCATCTCGCCCCCGTGGCCGCTAATCCAAACACAAGCCTCCGCTTTCTGGTCACTCAGATCATACGGTATCACAGACTCAATGCTTGAGGTTTTTGATTCGATTGGCGCCTTGACCCATGCGATCGGTGTTCATCTTCAAGGCAAACCATTCGGACGATATCTTGGAACGGTCCATAGAACGAGGACGGCTATTCAGCATAGCTTGCTGCTGCTGCCAACATTTGATGAACTTAATCTCAGACCTAAAGAGGAGGGAGTTGAGAAGAAGAATGTTTACGAGTGTTGCCGCCTGACAGCCCTCATCTATGGCGTTGCTGTGGTCTACCCGGTCCCCAATTCTCACGGCGTGCTGCAAAAATTGGTCACGCTTCTCCAAGTAGCGCTTGTAGTTCTGAACATCGAAAGTTGTGGGTCTGATTTGGATGGTGTGTTGTTGTGGATGGTGGCTCTGGGAGGGATAGCTGCATTGGATAAACCGGAAAGAGTCTGGTTTGCATCGCAGCTCGGTGGGCTTATGAGAAAGCAGGGGATAGGTGATTGGGGTGATGCTGAGGATATTTTGGAGTCGTTTCTGTGGCTTGAGAGTGCATGTGGTCAAGGTGGACACATGCTGTGGGATGAGGCTATGGGCAGGTTCTTATGGTGAGACATTGGAATTGAGTTCTCTCTAATCCGGTGAGATGAATGGAATTTCATGTCATATGAACGATTCCACGTCAATGCTTTGCCACTGGGGGTCGTCTGATCTCCCATTGGTGATGCACCTTTTCAGCTTCGCTTGGCTGTCCAGCCCCTGACCCCCATACTCACAATTTTCTATACCTGGTATGCACCACTTTTCCGCCCCCTTACCCTCAACCCCTTTCTGTATATCCTTTTGTACATAAATAAAGATGTAATAATCTACTTATCTCATTCTTCGAGCAGGTTTCTGTTCGTTATCATGTCTCGCCGTAAGAATACAGTGCACTCTCCACATAGTCATGATATAATGCCAACATTATGTTCTACTATTTTTCTTTTCGTACTTCGTCTGGGGTCGCGACAACCTCTTCAGCCTCTACTCCTGGAAAATCCCTCAACCGCCAAAAGTCAACGATAAGTTCTCCATTAACTGATGCTATGCATCTAATGGCAACACTGTTCATCCAACTGTATGGGCCTTTGCCGGCCTCGAAGTTCATATGAGAGAAATACTCCATATCATCTTGTGGAATTTGCTTCCACGATCCTCCTTGAAGCGCCAAACCGGTTTGAGGACCGGGCATGAAACTCCTTTGGGCTGAACGTAAATATACTGCCCGTCATCCGTCAAGACGGAGTACCTCACATTTTGCCGAGCAAAAATCTGTCGAATCCTTTCTTAACCATGATAATAGCCCAGGAGCTTCCGTTCTGAGGGAACCAGGACGAGAGTCAGGTCCCTTCGACGCGTTGGTAACAATTTGCTGTGGCCAGTCCGCTCCACTCCCCTCAGCAATATTTCCAATAATCTTTGTCCCTCTCGCAGTCCCTCCAGAGACGTGGGCGACATTTCGTGAATTTGGCCCCCGCAGAGTGCGTCATCGAGTAACGGAAATGTCCGACCTTGACTTGGAGACGCTAGATAAATTCCAAATGGGGGCCCGCAATAGTGGGATGGATGGTAAAACCCCATTTTCCAAGCGAAGAGGTATGAGTGACTGCTTGTTTTTCTGTCATGTCAAAGTTTAAACTTGGAGTAACCTGGGTTTCTTGTGAAGGAGGGAATCAAAAGTCCCAGGGCTTTCTTTAAACGGCGTTAGAGCAGCTATTTAGCCGAGACACAAAGGTGGGCCCGCAGGCACAGCCCGACCGAAGGACAAGTGACGGCGGTACCTGAAGGGCTTCTAACTTCACATTCCTCACCTATGTACCTCACTGACTCTCTTATTGCTAGAGTTATCACTAAACGGCGGCAACTCAGTTGCATCAGAAAACCTAGTATGTCTGAGATGACGTTAATAAATTATGGGAAGGCTCGCAAGTTTTACCAAGGGGATGCAGACTAGCTAGTGTCATCTATCCTTTCTCAATCAACGCCCACTCGGCCAGCAATTAAAATGACTTCTTAAAACTTAAGGGTTGAGGATTCGATTGTATGAAGTGATGGTGGATCTCAAGAGCGAGTGACTTAGCTACGTTAAAGCCTTCACACCCATCCCAAAGGAGACTAAATGAGAAGCGAGAGTTATCCCAAACCCTTGATATGGAATATAGAAGCATATGTACCAGTATATGTTCTAGACATGCACGAACGTGACCAGAGTTATCGAGCGTACTTCCTTGTCCACTCACGCGCCGTGTCTTCGTAACGTTGATGATCCATTTTATAAATGTGAGCAATTTCTGGCACGAGAGGGTTGTCCGGATTGGGGTTATCTAAGAACCAGCATATTGACGGTAGAACTAATCGTGTCAGCAATTGTCTTATATGTAAGAACGCTTCGGCAAGATATCCACCTTTTGCAATTGTCAATGCAGGACTCCACTCGTCTCTTAAGATGTTTAAAGCGATTGCTCCGTTGCAGTTGATGTTGGGAAGATACACTCTCGTCATGAACGCGACTTTGGGAGGCCTGAATGGATAGTCGGAAGAAAACTCGATGCTCAGAAGGAATACCCCTCCGGCGTAGGGGGTGTGTGACTGGACAACTGGTTAGAGTGTGAGCTTAGATAGGGGAGCCAAGCTCACAGGGCCCATAATTGTTCCTTTCCAGTAATACTGTTACTGGATTAGATTTCTGCAGTGGTCTTTACTGAGCGTAAACTTACTATATTGTCATCAATCAGACCAGCCGAACAGGAACTGGGAGGGTCCCTCTCTAGATATTCCAATTCCCACTTTATCCTCTTTGCGGCAGGGCTAACATGTTTCCTATCAATCAGAGGTTCCGATGCCAAGAGGCCATGGCGATTTCGTATTTCCAAGTCTAAAGTTGGCTGGAGCGCATATGCCTTGTGTTCCGCGAGTTCGGGAGGTCCAGTCAAAGGCTCTGATGTAAGTCGACGGAACCTAACCAATTCCGGCTCATGCAGAGGTAATTTAATCACAGAGATAATAGATATATCTGTGAGACTCACCCCAGAGAGGATGGACCAACCTCGAGATCTAGTGCTCGATATTGAAGATACAGCGTCGATATTGCCAACCTTTACTCTGCTATACACTCTTGTAGAAGCTAGTACCAGATTGAAAGAATGCTGTTGGATGGTGGATGCTTCTAGTAAGTACTCTCGGGGCTTACGATTCCCATCTCTCTCTATTTGTAGCTGCTTTTGGAAAGCAGGCTCACTGCCAGCCACGGGAACCAGAATCTGTGGTCCTGTATCTAGATCTCTTGTTGATCTGGGAATTTCAGAGTTATCGGTATCCAAACCGGCCTTATTTTCATCCCCAATTGAATCTGCCGGTAGCTGGATGCTCTCTAGACGCTTTGAGAGATCCACATCCTGTTTTACCTGTTGCTCAATATGCAGCTGTAGGTCATAAGCGGCTTCTCGCGCTTGAATATCCGAGTCACTAGGTAGAGCTGAAATTAGATTCGTACGACTAACTGAATGATAGCCCATGTGACTCTCTACTTACCACTGAATAATCTGTAATAGGAGTGTCAACGATGTCTTATGCCTCTGTAATTGATTTACCAAGCGCATGACCCCATCTTGTATTCGTGCCCACGTAAAACAGACCAAGTAAGAAGTTTTCTTCCCATTCGAGATCGGGCTGACCAGCGACTCAAGCTCAGAGAATACAAGCACCGTCTGTGTTAAAACCACCACGACATCTTCAAGCTGGATCAATGCAGCTCGTCCGCCCAACAACCTGGTTGCTTTGTCGAGGAATTTCTGTAGGGCTAAAAAGATGATCCTGATGTGGTCTACCTCTGTCAGCACCGCTGTGATCGACGCGGGCGCGTCTATGATCTGCTCTAGAAGGTTTGAGACCTGCGTCGCTGCTGCGATAATGCCTGTAATCGACGAAGTGATGTTGAGTGGATCCATTGCAGACAGCACAGACCCAAACGGGCTGGCAATTGCCCCAGATTTGTAGAGGATTTCTCGAGAAAACACCCGAGGAGGTTGAGATTCTTAGCAGATGGTTTTGGTCAAGGTTTTCAGCTGTCGCAAAGCTGGGCGTACTCCAAGAAGCCTCCCCCTAGCCAACAATGGATGGGCGTCACCTCCTACAGGCTGGCTGCTCTGAAACGCAGAAAAAGCAAGTTCTGAGGAATCACGCATGCGGAAGCATCAAGATCTCGTCGAGTCCTTCGCGAAAGTCTGACAGAGGTGATAGCCAGCAAAAAAACTTCGAGATTTCACGCAGAAACATATTAACAAGATCTATTTTCGAACTCAAAAATCTTATCCACCCAGGATTCACTCCTGTTCTAGGAACTTCGGTGACCTCTACCTCAGAATGACCTGCATCTCATCAAGCCGCACCATGAACCACCGAGTCACTCGGACTACCTTCCAACCGTAAATTTAAAAGACACCCTGCTCTACAACGAAACGGTCAAGGTATGTGTTCTTGAGCCATCGAATATATTATTTTACTACATGGAAACATTTGGCTCCACGGAAAGGCATGAATTTTGAAGTGATGCAGCCTCCAGAAGTAGCCTTCGCTTAATTGAGGGCGCCTTGCATATCTAGTTGCAGGACTGTGGAGGCTGCGCAGCCTGAGCATCGACGTGGCTGAGCACCGATTTTACTGAGGCATTTTTCCACTCATCCCATGATCGTAATCTTAATCTAACCAGGAATATCTCGACGAGTACAGTACACTGTGGGGGTTGAACTATCATGGACCCACTTACTGCAGTCGGACTTGCAGGAAACATCATAACCTTCATTGATCTCTCAACCAAGGTTGTCTGCAGAACAAAACAGCTGTACGAGTCGGCTAGTGGCGCAACTTCAGAAAACGATGAGCTGGAAGGCCTGACGAAGAATCTAAAAGACCTCGCCGACAGAACTCGACGCAAGCCGCCCAACACATCACGCAAAGGCCATTTTAGCCTGAATATTACAAGCGAAACGGTCCTAGACAGCCTAAGTCAACAATGCATCCAAGTCGCAGACGAGCTTCTGGAAACATTGGAGTCGGTCAAGGTCAAAGGTGATGGCCGAACCGTGCACAGTGCCCTGCAAGCCATAAAGACGGTGTGGAAACAGGATAACATCGACGCCATTCAACGAAGACTTGATCGAATCAGCAAGCAGCTGATGGATGGCATGAGCATGGAACAGCTAGAAGAGATTAACAGGAGGCTTCGAGAAATGGCGGTGGAGAATACGCGCCTGGAAGCAAATCGATCGAAGGAAATCAATCAGCTTCGGGAGGATTTCAACTCTGCGATTGAGAAACTCAATTCGAATGTGGAAGAGCAGACTCCAGGAGCTTGGCTGGTTTTGTCTGATACTGCTAGTCGTGGTCGGGCTTACTTTGCGGAGCAAGTAATCCTCCAGAGCCTCAGATTTTCGTCCATCGAGTCTCGCCATGAATCAATCTCCAAAGAGCATTCGAATACTTTCTCATGGATCTTTGATCAGGCTTCGCCTACCAAGTTTGTGGAATGGCTGAAAGGAGAGGATGGTGTCTACTGGGTCTCGGGGAAACCTGGTTCTGGAAAATCAACTCTCATCAAGTTTGTGGCAGAACACGAGCAAACCAAGAGATGCTTGGAAGAGTGGGCTGGCGACAAGAAGCTTGCTATTGCAAACTTCTACTTCTGGAATGCCTCCACGCACCAATCACAGAAATCCCAAAGGGGCTTGCTACGAACCATCCTTTATCAGATACTCCGTCAGTGTCCCGAGCTCATTCAGATGGCCTATCATGACCAGTGGATTGCATTGACATCTGATGGTAAAGTCTTGAAAGAATCTCGGGACGAGCTCTTAACCGTCCCGGCACTTCTCAATACCCTCAGGAATATATCGACTTCCACCGCATCAGACACGAAATTCTGTTTCTTTCTGGATGGCCTCGACGAGTACGATGGGCGACCTGCCGACATTGTTGAACTGGTCGATATTTTGAAATCTTTTCAAAATGTGAAAACATGTGTGTCGAGTCGTCCCTGGAACGAATTCGAGGATCGTTTCGGAAATGATTCGCGTTGGAAGCTCTACGTCCACGACTTTACAAGATATGATATCCATCTCTATGTCCAGGAAACTCTTGGCGAGAACTCCAGATTTCAGCAACTTCAAAATGAGGATCCCAAATGCCCTAACTTTGTCTGGAATATCGTGGACGAGGCCGACGGTGTATTTCTATGGGTGTTTCTTGTCACTAGGTCTCTGCTTGATGGTCTGACAAACTCGGATCGCATCAGAGATTTGCAAGATCGATTGAATGAGATACCAAAAGATCTACGGGATTACTTCAAACTAATCTTGTTTTCTACGGAGAATCGATATCGAACCCAGACAGCTCGGATATTCACAATCGCAGTTAACGCCGTAAGAGAACTTCCGTTAATGGCGTATTGGGTAATCGACCAAGGAACACCCAAATACATTTTTCAGTGTTCTGTCGAAACACCCGCAACAGAAATTTTAGATTCTCGACTAGACAATATGAGAAGAAGGCTGAAAGTGCTCAGCAAAGGTCTCCTTGATGCGGAGGACGAGGAACCTAAGTCAGTCGAAGACTATTTGATTGGATTTAAGGTGACCTTCCTACACAGGACGGTTAAGGACTACCTTAAAACTCCAGATGCACAGTCGATGCTTCAATCTTGGTTAGACGATACTTTCAGCGCCGACTGGGAAGTTTGCAACGCTTTCGGAGCCTTGGCCAAAATGACGCCCCCGGCAAAATTCACTCCTACTAGCCCAATTGCATTGTATATGCTCATTTGTATGTTCTTCCATGCACCATGTGTAGATCAGAATCCTCTCTTCCGAGCAGACATAGCTTCTCTGTTAGAGCATCTTCAAACTGCTCTCGCTCCAGCACTCCGAGAAAATAAAGAATCTTTGTCATACGAGCTCACAAGAAGGAAAGATAGTTGTTTTCTGAAAGGAGACAGTTTAGATCAGGATATAGCCATTATATCCTTGTGCGTTTGCTGTGGAGTCTTCAACTATGTCTCCGAAAAATTTGCGAAAGAGCCGAAGCTTTGCCATAAAGTAACGAATCATGTCCCAGCGCTGGTTGTGTCCCTGCGCCGAATCAATGGTCTTTGGGCTGGTTCTCTATTTTCCCTAGAGCAGGAAAGTTTAGGAATGCTAATGCTTGAGCTTCTATTGGCTCAGGGTGTGGATCCCAACGTCGAATTCAAGGGCATGACGGAGTGGCGTCGTATCTTGGAGGATTTAATGGACGAGAGGTATCTCAAAGATGATTCAAGGCCGAAGAGCTTTGAAGGTTTAAAGTTACTTCTTCAACACGGAGCAGACTTCCAACAACAGTGCACGGTTACGGAGGAGAACGGGGATGTTAGAAAAGCAACGGCAAATGAGCTGCTGAGAGAATGGTACGATGCGGATCAGTTCGGTATGCTTGAGGATATCGTCAAACGGAGAGACACGAAAAAGAAGATGAAGCATGGGATATCTAAGAAGATAGGCCATCTTAAACTGTGGGTAACTTCTAAGAAGTGAGGGATGGTTGTGATTTGGAATTTTGCATTTCCTCGCTCGTTATGTAGTATAAGTCTCACATTTTGTCTGAGCGTGAGGTGATTTCTAGCAACCAGATTGAAGAATACTCGAAATAATTCGATTTGCGGGATCCGTATTTAATTCCATTTCCTCATGTTTCCCAGTCTTAACGTGCTATGATAGCGGCCATCTGGGCACTTTCGAGTCCATGAAGCCTAATTCTGCTGATTATGGCCGTTCCAACTCTCAAATACCGATTTGAACCCCCCTTAAAGTAGGCTAAGTCGAAGCAGGCGCCGTGCGGCCCAAGCTGCCTGCCTTCGTTACTAGTGTTAAAATGGATCTTTCAGTAATTGATGCTTACTGGTAAAATACCTTCTTAGGCATTATTAGATTATTTATTAATATTAGAAATGGAGTTTCTCCCCTTTTCATATTATTTGGCGTGGGCCGGGTGCTGGACCCTTCTTTTTTGGTGTTCTTTACGCCGTGATTTCACTGCTACTACACGCGTGCGAAGAACATATTTACTAGCCAAAAGGAACAGAGAATCTGGAATTACACCTCCACACTTCATAACGATAGTGGTGACAACATTTAGAAGACATCTCTCTTATTCATAGATCTCTGTGTTTGGGTTGATTTAAAGGGGGCGTCGCTTAACTTTCGGGATGGGGGTGCGAGGAACATGGGCACTTCGCTTAGAACTACCCGTTCGATCTTCCTTCCACTAGTTACCACCGGTCAGTGCTACTCGTTCGGCCGGGCTCACCTGGTTCTCGCTTAGCACACTTACCAGGTGAGGGAGGGCAATACGCAAAGACCACCAATACGCAAATTTTTTGCTATGTATATAGAACTATGGAGTTTTAGCCTACTATAACCCCTATTTTTCCCATAAATCGTAATTAGTAGCCTTTATTTTCCAATTAATTACGTCCCAGTAATTAGCTTTAAACCTTTGTATTATTTTTTTGTACTTATTTCTCCAAGGCTTACTTAGCCTAGTATGCCTTATATTAATCACCCGAGCTTTATCCTTATTATCTGCCTTAATATCCTTTCTCCCTTGCTCTATAGTAATCTTCCTATATTTCTGAATAATCCAACTAGCTCCTTCTTTTCTAGCTAAATGCTTCTTCTCCGTAAGGCCCAGATCTAGTATCCTTTATCTAGCGAGGGTACTAGATAAAATTAATCTCTCTAATACTGCCTCTACTTTCTCTTATATATATAAAACTAAAGGAGTAATAGGGATACCGTTCATTAATTATATTATATGACTTTTAATATAGTTAATACCTCGTTTTCGTATATATAGTATTAATGGTATAGGCCAATCTGCCCAGTCTTTATAGGTGGGAGTACAGGGTGGCAGGGTAGTAAAACCAGGAGAAGAAGGTAAAATTAGTAAAGAGTATTATAGAGGAGGAATTGAAGTTCGCAGATGCTTTAAAAGCTCTTTATACTCCTTTATTTTCTATAGAACTCTGAGCGAATTAAGAGGTATTAATCCAGTTTTCTTAAAAGAAGAGATTATAATATGCTAGCTCTTGAAAACTCTATCCCAAAACCTCTAGAAAATCGCAAAGAAGTCTATTTTATTAAACTTCTCCGTACTATTAAAAATCTCTTAATAAAGCTTCTTTTAAAACCAGTATTTTAAAGATTAGAAGACAATAATATTAAGTAGTTAAAGAAGGTAGGTTATATATATAGGTAATCTAAAAGGTTAAATATAATTCTCCTAGTAGAGATATAAAAATTCGTTAGATAAATAAGAACTATACTTATTAAAAATCAAGATCCTATAAGTACCTATTTATAAAAAAGGATAGTATTTAATAAAGTATTTGAGATATTATAAACCCAGGTAATTATTTATAAAATTAGTAGAAGAGTATATAAATTTAATACTACTATTAAGTATCCGTAAGAAATATCCGCAAAGATAGTATACTTCCTTGAAAATAATATATATAGGAACCTTTCTTCTATTATAATTAATTATAGCTATAACTATAACTAATTCTCGATTATCTAGATCGGTATTATATACTACTTTATAATCTAGTAGTATATATATAATATTTCCCGTTACTACTCTAATTTGGAAGCTATTCTTATTAAAATTAGATATATCCTCTATATAAATACTTCATTTTCTCCTATATTTATTAAAATTAGCAAAATGCTCTTTAATATCCTCTATAATATATATACTCAGGTACTTTATAGATATTAGTTTCTCTCAAATTTGCTTTAGGAACTCGTAATTACGGGCGATCCAAGCTTTTGTCTATCTGCAAGATATAGAGAAATTAATATTGCCAGTATCGTAATAAACTAGCCTGGAGGCACTTGTCTGAATTATTTCCAGATTAGGACTCTGCCCAGATATATAGAGTATTAAGAGATAATCTCTTAAAGACTTATCTTATAGTACTGAGAGTTTTTTATTATATCTACCCCGAGAGTTGCTTGCAGGATAACCCCTCCGCCGGGCCATTAATTAATTATACGGGACTACAAACTGGACTGTAGCCTTCGTTCCTCTTAGCCTAGGATCTTGATCCATAGCCTCAGAGGCCCTAGTAATTCGCTCTTTAATAGCTTCTGATTTGGGTGGCATTTTGGTGGGTTGGAAAATCAATGGTGGGGTGGCGGGAAAAAATTTGCATATTGGTGGTCTTTGCGTATTGCCCTCCCTCACCTGGTAAGTGTGCTAAGCGAGAACCAGGTGAGCCCGGCCGAACGAGTAGTGGTTCGGTTCGTGAAAGCGACGTACGGAGTACTTGGCCACCCTCAAATTGGTGTTCCTCGCTACACTCCATGCACGGATCAGCCAGCTAGAAGTACCTCCCATACAAATTTACTAGGCAAATACTTGGCCAAGTCGCTTTACGAACCACCAGTGGTAGATAGTGGAAGGTACGAACGGGTACAGCGTGCGCGACACAGAATTTAATCTTGGACTTCTGTGGACACAATCATCGCACGCCAGAAGCAATATGCAGAATGGATTTTTGGAATCATTGTGAATTTTTGATATCATGGTTGGTCAAGCGTGTAGCTTTTGGTTCGAGGCTTAAATCGGCGCAGCCCGACTTGCCCGCCCCTGTTTCATGACCCCGCCAACAGGGGCTAGGAGACCCAACTGGAGCATAAATCCACCAATCGATCCGCGGGGTACCAGAATCACTGTGACTGACATCCAGCAAGACATTATTCTACCGCCGCTCATAAAACTGCCAGATCCGAGTCCCTGCACAAAGAAACTTGAAACGGGCTTTTTCAAGGCGCCGCTAATAACAATCCTGATCGAGAGAGGGGGCAATTATTCTCAAACATCGTGGGCTAGTCTTTACTTGGCATCCGTCGTGCCTGGCTGACATCAGCGCCACCGTGGCATAATGTTTCAATGCGCAGCCAGTCAGGGCGCAATGCGCGCACCACCGCCATGCAGGAACGCGCTGGTTGGCTTCGGGACCAGGAAACATCGAGTGCCCTTGAAGTTTATTCAAGGGCAAGCTTCATCGTCCGAGCAAAGCACAAAGACAAGAGAGGAAAACCGAGGCTCGTTTGCCTGTCTAGTGCCCGATGTACCGCAGATCCCAAACGGGTGGCTGGACTAGGCTGATCCGGAGAAACTCCTTCAAGTTGCCCCTCTGGTACCTTCACCACTCGATCCCTTTGTCTTCTGTTTCAACGAAACGCGGGGTCTTGGCGAAGGATTAGATATCAAATGAAAGCCATCTGAATGCCCAGGCCGAAGTGGAGTCAGTATATAGGGGCAGAACTACCCCTCTCAACTTTAATCTATTCTCTCCATCATCATCGCGCCAGTCGCTCTTTCCGTTCTGCTTTACACTTTACATTCTCTTCAGAGCTATTCAGTCCTTTTCTCAGCCTCGTTTATTTTCTAAGCCACAGATCGATTCAATTCTTTAGATTAGATCTGAGCTCATCCAGAGCTCATCATGAAATTATTCTCAGCAATTCTCGCCTCCTCTGCCCTGGTGGCAATTACGAGCGCTCACACTACGATTTGGAACATATATGTCAATGATGTCAACCAAGGTGTTGGTAACACAGCTGGGGGCTATATCCGCTTCCCCCCCAACAATAGCCCGGTCAAGGACCTCACTTCAAAAGATCTGACATGCAACGTCGCCAACACTCCCAATACCAAGACTGTAACTGCAGCTGCTGGAGACAAGGTAATTAATCTTATTTTTCTGGGAACAACGAGCTGACCACTATTTAGATTACCGTTGAATGGCACCACAATGACAACACAGCATCAGACGATATCATCGCTTCTGTAAGGATCATGGGCCCCACACCTGGTATTTAAGAGACTAGACTAATCGAAACTAATTAGTCCCATAAAGGGCCAGTCCTCGTCTACATCGCACCTACCGCCTCCAATGGTGCAGGGGATGTCTGGGTCAAGCTCGCAGAATCAGGATTTAACGCCGGCACCTGGGCCGTCGATACGCTTATTGCCAACAAGGGCAAGCATGACTTCACCTTACCGTCCGTTCTTGCCCCTGGCAACTACCTCGTCCGATCTGAGATCATCGCTCTTCACGAGGCAGATGCAGCGTTCACAGCCAATCCTGCGCGTGGCGCACAGTTATACATGGAGTGTATCCAACTCCAGGTCACTGGTAGCGGCAGCACTGTTCGTTCCTCCACACCCCCTTCAACATCTGGAGTGGTCTTTGAGTGAGCCATGACTAATCGAATTTCAGACTCTTCCTGCAGGTGTAGCTATCCCAGGCGCATACAAAGAAACTGATCCAGGGATCGTGTTCAATCTCTACGGCACCTTCACATCTTACACTATCCCCGGGCCAGCAGTTTGGAATGCCGCAGCCGGAGGATCAACCGGTACCTCTCCTCCGCCAAGTAACTCAACAAACGCACCGGCCGCTTCCTCACCAGCTGCACCGGTCCCAACAGGTGTGCCAGGAGGTGCCTCAACCACGAGCGTGTACGCGTGTTCATCCACTATGTCTACTGTCGTCGGCGCCGCACCGTCCGGAGCAGCCGTGGCTGGAGTGTCAGCCGCTGTAGCTAAGTACTCCCAATGGCATGTCTCCTTCAGCCCTTATCTACCATGACACTTTAATAACGTTGAAATATAGTGGTGGAAAAGGCTTCACCGGCGGAACGAGCTGTGTTGCAGGCACGACATGCAAGGTGATCAATGACTATTATTCGCAATGTCTTTCCTGATTTGCAATGAACATGAAGTCTGGATTGGGATAAGGCAAGGGCGTCAGGGACGAGTGAATCGATTTGGAGGTTGGGTTCATGTATATAGTTCTGTTCGTTCCTGCCGAGCAGGTTCAACTTCCTGGCGTATGGGCATATGGGAAGGGGCGTATTTGGTTTGCACTTGGTTATATAGATATATCATAGAGGAGAGGATCTGAGAGAATCAAAAGTTAAGTTGCTGAAAGACCCACTGTCTGGATTTGTGATAGGAGCTATTTAATGGGACACCAAAGAATCGGAGCACGAGTACCTGGGCTTGGTTTCGAAGCGTATAGAATTGAGTGGTTTTGACAGGGGACATAGATAGTGGCTTTCGCTTACCGCCATGTGCTCCCCCCCTAATTAAATGTAACAGTGGGTCAAAGTGCAGGGGTTTTTTGGTATGGCAACTGGACCGTGCCAGGCTGGTTTTGCGGGGACCCACTATTACATTTATCTAGGGGGGGGAGAGTACGATTTCACTTCCTCCCAACCACGGAACTAGGGGTAGCTCCCAATTAATTTAAACCTACGTGTACTTTTCATAGAAGCGTAGTTATAAAGTTATTAAGAAAGTTATTTTTCGTTTTCTCCTAGCCTGTACTCGCTAACCCTATACCTGGCCACCCGCCTCTCGATTTTCTTAGTTATTGTAACGGCGGAGCTAGAGTAATAGTCAAGCTCAAAGATCTCTATTTCCTGTCTTATAGAATACAAAGCTAAAGAGAAGAAGAGAAAGAGTGAGAGGAGAAAAGGAGAAGAAGTACTAGCTAAAACGACTGAGACCACTAAAACGCCGGCTAGCTAGGTGAAACTAGTCAGGTGACAGCTAACCCCATGTGACCCTTGCCAGCGCCGTCACAGTCGTGAGTAAGAAAATAGCATTTTTACTGATAACTTTATAATTATGCCTTTAAGATACAGTGGAAGGCGAATTGAGAGTCGCTGATTTTTAATTAACTTTTTTAAGGACCGCGGGGTAAGCCTGTTTCTTTTGTGGCTTTTGCGGGATCCCCTGTAAGCGGGGAGGTAAACCTCGTCTACAGTCGGCACCCATCCATGGATCAGCATCACGATCCCCAGCAAGGGCTGCGGGCTCAAGTCTGAAGACGATGTGCTAACCAAGTCGCTGCTGGTGAAATTCGTCGCAATGTCGGATCAAATTGAGCTCGACGAGCTGGCTGGCGCCCCATCATCCTCGAGTCGACTTCTAAGGCTCCTCCGTGCCCGACCCAGCCCCCAACCTGGCATTCCGCGCCAGCCGCTTCCAATGTCTCTGTGCGAAGAGTGCGACAAGGCGAGAAGAAACGACTCCGTGAGCGGCGTCCTGCATTCCAATCTCGACACGATCCTGTCCTGTGCCAGCGAGTGTGCCTTCTGCGCATATCTGTGTGGCCTAGTCGGTCGCGAGAAGTTATCGCAAGCACAGAGAGAGATAATCGGCAGCGGCCACTGTCAGATCTACCTGTCCGAGGACGAGCGCGTCGAGCTCAACCAGAAGCTGCACTTTTGGTGGAGACATCATCATTGGGACACTTTCGGGGGGGACACTACCTTTGTGACCAAAGAGCTGACTGTTTGTGGGGAGACATGTGGGGTGGCCCTACTATCTGCTCCCAAAATCACGAACGGAGTGCGAGATGGAATATCGCGCTGACCAGTACCTTCGTCCAGGGCGCGCGTTTGAGAGGCCCTTCTGGGCGTCTACGGAGCCTCTTACTATCACGAAGAGGGTGCCGACTATCCTGGAATGGATCCGCGATTGCAGAGAGAACCACCCCCAATGTGTCGCGCCTGCGTCGTCATCCTCGAGCGCTCGTCCAGCGCGCTTCGTCGATATACGGGGTTTGAGGAGCGGCGGCGCAGTCAAGCTGATACGTTTTGCAGACATCCCCCAGGGAGATGTAATTTCCTATGTGACTTTAAGTCACTGCTGGGGTGGAGTGGTCCCTCTTCGTACTCTGAAGGCGAACCTGCGGGACCACCTGAAGAAGATTCCCAAGTCGTCCATCCCGCGCACCTTCTCAAACGCCATCATTCTCGCTCAAGCCCTCGGTATCGGCTTCCTATGGATCGACTCCCTCTGCATCGTCCAGGACGACCCCTCCGACTGGGAGACCGAGGCCTCCAAGATGCACACCATCTACCGAGGCGCCGTGCTAGCCATCGCAGCAACCTCCTCCAAGTCTTCAAATGACGGGCCCGACCTGTCCGTCGCGATGCTGCCAGCACACCACATCTACACCACCGAGGACGGGAAAGCAAAACGCACCGTATCCGTCCGCCATCCGGGGCTCCCGAACCCGATCCAGACGTACCAGAGCCTGCCGATCCACACCCGCGGCTGGATCTTCCAGGAACGGCTGCTCTCCCCGCGGATCCTGCACGTCATGGACGACGAGTTCATCTGGCAGTGCCACGCGCTCCTGGACACGGAGAGCGGACGCTGCCTGCGCGAGCGCGGAACCGGCCGCAACGACGAGTATCAGTGGGAGCCGCTCAGCGCCGTCTACACCGTCCCTCGACCGCCGCCGCGCGGCGACGAGAATCCTGGGTTTGCGACGGATCGGCTCTGGTGGACGTGGGTGCAGAGCTACACCGACCGGAAGCTGACCTACCCCACGGATATCTTCCCCGCGTTTGGCGGTATGGTGAAGCAGTTCGCCGAGCTGAGCGGCGATGAGCCCGTGCTGGGTCTGTGGCGGAGGGAGCTGCCGCTGCATCTGAGCTGGAGCACCCACACGTTGGGATGCGCGCCCGGCGCCGGCACCGTGGCGCGGATACCGGCTGAGTTGCGTGCTCTAACGGAGGCATTGCCGAGTTGGACGTGGATGAGCATGCCGATTCCGCATATCAAGCCGTGGACGCACAACATCGAGTGGAGCCGGTATGCGCCTGACTCTATCTTGCGGGAGGCCGAAGTGCTTGGCATTGATATAGAATGGGCTGGCGAGGCGTGGGCGTCGCTGCCGAGTAAGGGAGTCCTTACTCTCCGCGGGAGGATGATGTCCATGGCGGAGACGTACACGAAGCCGGACTCGATGGTCTCGGAGCCGACGGGATACTTGCTTGATAACCCAAACCTTCGGGGTAATATCGTCATGGATAGGAGGCCGTTTCGGTTCGAGCAGCTGAGGGAGAAGTTTGTTGCGATGGCACTGTGGTCTCGGTCGAAGTATGGCGAATCTTGGTACTATTTGGTCTTGGAGCCGACGAGGCGGCGGGAGGGAGAGTATCGTCGCATTGGGAGGGCTCTCATGTACTACCGGAGACGGAGTGGCGGGCCGAGTTTCGGTGAGATTGGATCAATCGAGACTATCACGGTCGTCTGAGACGATGCTGAGGCCCATCTTTCTCGATGCGCTGAGAAGGTTAGACCCGATATTAGGAGTATTAAATAAATGACTACAATTTTGAGGAGACAAAGTTGAGTTTGGAATGGACGACGCAAAGCAAAGTCAATGAATAAGAGATGGATGAGATATATTTGAAGAGCATCTGCTCCCGGAGTCGTCAAGCAGGCTTAATTCAGTGACGGCAGTGACGGCATTTCGAGATTGTAAAATAAGCGCTTTACATACATGCGAAAACGGGAAGATTACTGGATGGATAGCAATTTGTACCTCAAGACTGTACAAAAGCAGGTCTCGGTAAGATTGCGGAAAGGAATTTGTATTGAAGTGTTCTGATTGAAATATGCGGGGTTGCCACTGAGAGCTGAGATGTATTCTACTGTAGTGTTCCGGCATAGTCCTTTGCGCCCACGAATCACGGTACTTCTACTCTTTAAGCCATCCATTCATAATCCGGAAGCGGATACTTCTCGGTGCTGGCAAAGGCGCCGGCAAAGTATTTCTGAGCGAATTCCAAAATTCTGGTCCAAGCGATGAAAGCAAATACATGGTTTCGCACCCATATTCCCCACACCGTCTGTGGCGCCATGGCAAGAAGAACGAGCGGTGGAATCTTCTGCATCTCGTTGATTAAGGGCCTCATTGTCTCCTCGTATCCCCTGAGTCCTGCTGCAAGATTTCCCCTATGCTTGTTGATCTCCCCCGCCAACACGTAGGCACCGGTAATGGCGAGAGTTGTCCCACCACCAGTAGGACCCGGTGCGTATCCCGCATCACCAACCATGGCAAAACGTCCTTTGTATATGCATGGGGGTTTGACCTGGACAATTTCGTTCGCGTAGAAGTCTCTTGACTCCCCCAAAAGGCCCTTGATTGCCTCGTCGGTCTTCCACCCTGCGCTTTTGTAGTGCTCGGCCACAAACTGTTTGAGTGCATCGTCTCCTTGTTTCATGGCTTCACGGAACGGCAACATACCGTCGCGAGGATAGATAGCCATGAGAGTGGCTCGAGTCGCTCCAGATGGATCAAGCCCGAGAGCGACGAAACGGCCTCCGGGAGCGCTGTATCCCTGCCCCACTTTACTTCCTTCGACAAGATCCTGTTGGATAGAAAAGAAGGATGCCCAGCAGTTGATTGGTATGATATGGTCTCTGACACCGCAGCCAAGACCGAGAGCTCGAGTCCTCGAGGTGGCGCCGTCACAGGCAACAACAAGGTCGTATTCTGAAGTTGGGAAACCGTTTGCGAACTCTACAGTCACAGGTCCGTCGCTGTCCTTCTTGTCGTTTTCTGGAGTCAAGATTGAGGTGACCTGTTCGCCAAAAACATACTTGATATTTTCATTGTCCCTGGTCATATCGAACAGAATGTGTGCCAGGTCGCCGCGGAAGATCTCGTATTCCGAAACAAGAGACTGTTGATCAGGATTTCCAGTGGCTCTGATGGTTCCATATGGTCGACTGTTGACATTTTCGCGGACGAAGCTGATACCTTCCAGCTGTGTGAACTTAGATCGAACTGCAGCCTCCATGCCCGGCATCTTGCGCATGACCGTCACGCCAGCAGTGCGGATGTCGACGGCTTGTCCACCAGCTCGCAGCGCAGGGAACCGCTCAATGACGGTGACATGTGCTCCCGCTTTGGCTAGCCAGTACGCTGCCGTTGGGCCTGCGATAGATGCGCCGACAACAAGAACCTTGAGTTGAGGTGAAGACATGGTATTTGGAGTACCTGGAGCAGTACGACAGAGGGGGAAATGCTTCCTGGCATCCGGGCGGTACCGCAGCCCCTGAGGATTTAGCGAGCAGATGCTGATGATGTAATTTTACAGGGGTAACTTTGATTTTCGGACTGAACGAAATTGATTTGTGTCTGATGGACAATGATTGACTGTCTGGCTTGAATACATAGTAAAATACCTCATCTCTTTCTGGGAACTCAAGAAATTTTATACAGCATTCTCCTTTAGCTTCGGTCGAGAAACTGTCATGCTTCGGGGATTTTGAAGCCCTTTTTTTTTCGGGCCCCGAGCTCAAAATCCCCACCAATCGGACATCCCAAAGGACCGCACCCGACCAGAACTTTACGGGGCTTAAGCGGACTACTAGCGTAGTATTTTTTAGCGAGCTTACCCTTCAACTCCAGGTCCTTCTCTTTCAACCAAGCACCTCCTCTACACACATCCACCTCTCAAATAACTTGAGGACGTAGACAGGCCACGGAGAATTTGAGATGCGCTCTGTGCCGAATGTTCTTCTCTTAAAGAACCTCCTTGACTCATAGATTTCACCCAATACAATTGCGCCACTTCTGATCGCATTCATATCGCACAGTCCGACTCGCAATGAACTCTCCGCAATCCCCGCCGAGTGCTCAAGGGGGATCACAGACAAAGCCTAGCTTCGCCTGCGTCCGCTGCTCTGAGCGTAAAGTCAAATGTAACAGGCAAGACCCCTGTGAATCGTGCGTCAGACACAATGTGCAATGCATTTTTCGTCAACCAAAGCCGTCTCGAAGGAGACGAGAATTGGCGAAAGGCAAAACGGTGGAGGAGCGACTGAAGCGCTACGAAGCATTACTCCGAGAGAAAGGCATCGACCCCAACCAAGTTACGGGTACTTCAGAGCCTGAGCATCAACCCAAGATCACAGAAAGCCGCTCAGAGGGACCTGAAGCACACTGGATATTGCCGTTACAATCAACAATCTTCAAGCCCCGGCTTCTGCAAGGCCAGGAGGGCACAGAGCTCGTTGACAAGTAAGTATACTCCATCCAATCTAACGAACGAAGCTGAGTCTCCACCAGCAGCTTGTGGTCGAGAGTCGCAGAGGAGGTGCGTTTCCATGGCTTGTGCAAGCTCAATAGCCTAACAGTCTGCAAGATCAATGCTAAAAGTGAAGTCAGATACACCACACTGAAGCGGGTCTGGAAGACGACTCTGGGAATGATTCAAGCGACCATAAAATGGCAAATGATGATTTCAGCTACGTTCTGGGCAGGAACACCTCCAATACTGAATCTTCTCACCCTCCGGCCGAGCTCATTCATCGATTGTGGCGTATTTTCACTGAGAATTGCAATCCGCTCACGAAACTGGTGCACGTCCCGAGTCTGCAACCTGTGATAGAGAAAGCAATCGCCAATATCAAGCATATCCCAAGCGGCTTCGAAGCGCTTATGTTCGCCATATACAGTTTGGCTGTCCTGTCGCTTACAGAATACGAATGCAGAGAAATCCTAGGAGAGAGTCGAGCGATCCTGCTTCCCCATTATAGAGCTGCGACAAAAACAGCTCTATCGCGCGCACAATTCATGAGCAGCACCAGCATTGTTGTTCTTCAAGCACTCCTGCTTCATATCTTTTCGATCCGAGATGACTACGAACCGCGTGCGGTGTGGGTCCTCACGGGTGTCGCGATCCGTGTTGCAGAAGGTATGGGCATGCGTCTCGATGGCACCTTGCTCGGGTTGTCCCCTTTTGAAACTGAGATCCGTCGGCGCATCTGGTGGCAGCTCAGGATGCACGATTTCCGCGCGGCAGAGCTATGCGGCCAGCCCAAGTTTCGAGACTTCAAGCTCGATGAAACAACGCCCAAGAGGCCGGCCAACGTCAACGACAGCGAGCTGTATCCAACAATGCCTCAAGCGGCCGTTGAATCGACCAGACCCACAGAGATGATATGGTGTGTGTTTCGAACTGAGCTGGCTAGCTTTGCAGCTACCCAGATAGCCAGAATGCAGAAACTCGGCAAGACCGGGTACACATCTGAGGAATACGCTGCCATGGATGACCTGAAGATCAAGGATGTTTTCATCGACGAGCTCGGAGACGTAATTGAGACGAAATACTTGCGATTTTGCGACCCGTCTCAACCACTACAGCTCTTAACTCTAGTTGTCGGTCGGTCTGCAATGAACCTCATCCGCTTCATGGCTCATCACCCACGCAGATGGGCCACCTTAGAGCGGGTCCCAGAATCCGAACAGCAGTTGGTCTGGGACATTTGTATTCAGCTCATGGAGCAATACGGCATGATACAGTCAAGCCCGCAGCTTCGGCGCTTCGCTTGGAATGTCCCCTACTTCCTCAGTTGGCCAGCTATCATCCACGTCCTCGATACTCTCAAAGCAGAACCCCTGCGCAGAGACGCTGAGAAGGCTTGGCGGCTCATTGACAACATGTACGAAACCTATTCAGAAATGTTGCTCAACCTCAAGAAACCGATCTTCGCGGCTGTCGGGGGACTTTGTTTGAAAGCATTTGGTGCTCGCGAAGTTTCGCTTGCGAAGCAGAAACGGAGCCTCTCGGATCCGCCAGGATACATTACCAAGCTTCGAGAACAACGAGAAGCAGCGAAAGCCAGGAGGAGATCAGTGATTACAAGGAGCAAGGGACAAGAGACCTTCCGTGTTGACAAGGGGAAAACACTAGTCACAACGGACACCGACACAGCTTGGCTAGAGACAAATCCAAGCTCAGTTGCAGAAACACTGGTTGAAGCCCCACGTCAACAGCAGCAATATCTTCAAGCGGCAAACCTTGTCCAAGGAAGCACGAGCAATCGGAGTGCAGACGATGCTTTCTGGCTCAGCGGCGCTCTCGCCGATAGTTTTTCTTCTGATGGCGCGGCAGATATGATGAATCTAGATACGGACGCTATTCTGGCGCAAGACTGTTGGCTTGACGCACACAATGGTGAAGCGATGGATTGGGCACAATGGGATGCCTGGCTTGGAAATCTCGATCCTGTGCGTCCAAATATAAACGCTGGTACATGAACTGGGTGGGTATTTCAGAGCCGATGTCACACTGGCCACGCTTTCTATATTATTTGACTTTTGGTTGACATTAGATGCTGATCGGGAGTGCTTTTGGAAGCATTAATCTGGACTAGCTTGGGTTCACTTTTTTGGGTTTCGTCAAATGAGGCTGGTGGCTGAAGACAACCAGAATGCATCTTGTCGTATTCGGATCATGCAAATGCTGACCGATGTTGAGTCGCATGGAATCACCAAGTAGTCAATCGCTTCAGGAAGGATTTCGACAAGGATTGGGATAGGCGTTAGTTTACAGGAGTCTGTCGAATGAGAGAAGAGAGCAAAGAGGTCGTGGTTCGCTGGCATTGGCTGACGAAATTGTCCATCCCCCCACCACGTGCGCCTCTGCAGTGTGTCAAATGAGTAGAGTAGAGTAGAGTAGTGGGTTCTACTCATACTCTATTCAACCAATTATAGCGCTAATTATACTCTACTTATACTCTACTCATACTCTACTCAAGCTACTTATGAGTAGTGTGAGTAGTGTGAGTAGGTACCCACGTAATAGGCACACATGACAGACTAGCCTAATTAGGTAAGCATCCTGTCTAGTGCCGCTATAGCGCCACGTCTCTACCCAATTAGGCAGTAATATTACTTAGTAAGCAAGACGGGGGAAATTAAGATTCTAAAGAATATAACTAATTTATTATTATAGAAAATTAGTATTTAGCTAGTCTTATATAAGCCCTAACTTGCCTTTACTAGGTCTATTTAATAAATACCTGTATTATTTGATTATTATTAAATAAATCTTAATTTATTATTATTATTACGTAACGGCTACTTATAACTGCTCAAACTACTTATAAGTATATACTCTACTCTACTCAAATTTTTAGGATATTTATAACGGCTAGTATTATATAGTCAGTGTATTAAATGAGTAGAGTATAGTAGAGTAGAGTAGTGGGTCCTACTCATACTCTACTCAACTAATTATAGCACTACTCATACGCTACTTATACTCTACTCAAGCTACTCATGAATAGTATGAGTAGTGTGAGTAGGCACCCACGTGACGGTTACACGTGACAGGCTAGCCTAATTAGGTAAGCCTCCCATCTAGCGCAGCTCTAGCGCCAAGTTTCTGCCCAATTAGGCAATGGCATTGCTTAGTAAGCGAGCTAAAGGTCAGGGGGGAATCAAGATTCTAAGAAGCATAACTAGTTTATTATTATAGAAAATTAATATTTAGCTAGTCTTATACAAGCCCTAGCTTACCTTTACTGGGGCTACTTAATAAATATCTTTATTATTTAATTATTATTAAATAAACCTTAGTTTATTATTGTCACGTGACGGCTACTCATTACTACTCATACTACTCATGAGTATATACTCTACTCTACGCAAATTTTTAGGACATTACGCTACTCATATTCTACTCACGCTACTCATGAATATTCATGAGTAGTATGAGTAGCATGAGTAGTTCTTTAACACACTGTATATGGTTAATACGGACGTGGTTTTAGCCAAAGGGGTTGGTTTTAGCTAAGGTTCCAAGCTTGCTTTAAACCAAGCTCGGCGTTTCAGTGGTCTTGGCTATACCTACTTATTCACTGCCACACCTCACTTACTCCTTCTTTCCTTAGCTTTAGATTCTGTAAGATATTGGAATCATAGATCTTTGAGTATTGTTCTATTGCTTTGTTTCTGCCGTTATATAATCTAAAGCTCCTATCTTTCGGACAGTAGTTATTATTATTGTTTATTAGGACTCCTGTCTACTAGCCCGCTTTTATGCGAAGTACCCTTATTATTATTATTATTGTTATTATTACGTGGCGCTATCTATAGTCTTTTATCCGCGAGGCGTTAAAAAGCTCGATTTTGGCTAGCTTAACCTACCTTATTATTTATTAGAGCCCCTGGCTTACTACTTTATTGATTTTTTAGTACTAACTTTACTGATATTCCCTTGAGAATGGACACCCTCCAAACGCAAGTCTAGCGCGAGTTTAATGGTCTACGAGCTGAAATTGCTACTTTGCGAGTAGCTCTTGCGAAATCCCAAGCTTCCCGGCCCTGTCCAAAGCTTCCTGATCCTGAGAAGTTCGCTAGAAGCACCTATAAATTCGATACTTGGCTTCCGTTAATTAAAGCAAAGCTAGCTATTAATGGCACGGCAATTGGAGACGCTACGGCTCAATTCTACTACGTCTACCTAAACCTTGATTCGTCCGTCCAATCCATAGTTTTGCCGTAGCTCTTTTATGCGAAGCATACTTAATCGTGGGACTACTAAATAATCCTGGACCAGCTTTTACGGGTATGCAATAATCCAAACAAGTAATTTACCAAGTTTGAACGGACCCTGTATGAAGCGAATGGCCAAAGCTAGCCAGATATTAATAAAATTTCCAGCTTTTGCAATAGCCTCAATTCCGTAATTCGCTCTCGTCTGGCCCAGTAGTTTGTTCTACCCAGGGTTTATACCGATTTCCTATATACGGTTTAGTAGCTCTCGTCAAAAACAGCCGCACTACCGTACGTTACTGCCCCCAGAATTGCTAGTAATCCTATAAATATTAGCGAACTAATAATTAACGTCGTTATACCGGCAATTAGTGCCCTTATATTATCCTCTGAGCCAATCTCACCGGTAATGCTAGCTCGTTCTACCTCAAAGGAGCTCCGCTAGTATTATTATTAAACCGGCAGATGTATTAGATACGGATCCCAGGATCACTTTATCAAGAACTATAGCTTGGCTCCTGCAAGCACTGCTTCCTCTGGTTCTTGCAAATGGGTTATAACTGCCGCAATTAACTATTACCCTGATTCTGGTAGCGATTCTGTCAATTCTGGCGAATCTAGAGGAGGGCTAACCTTGGATATAGCTTTTAACCGCATATGGAGGGCTGATTTTGCGGCTTGACTTGGAAAGAGGGTCCTTTTCCTTTATTCTGTCATTTTTACTATACTCGCTTTAGTTTTCCCTTTGTTTTTACTAGCGCTCGGGTCGAGCTTTTTGGAGGGGGGGTAATGTAACAGCTAGTATCACATAGTTAATACGGACGTGGTTTTAGCCAAAGGGGTTAGTTTTAGCTAAGGTTCCAAGCTATGGTTCAAACCAAGCTTGCTTCAAACCAAGCTCGGCGTTTTAGTAGTCTTGGCCATACCTACTTATCCACTGCCACACCTCACTCACTCCTTCTCTCCTTAGCTTTAGATTCTATAGGATATTGGAATTATAGATCTTTGAGCATTGTTCTATTACTTTGTTCCTGCCGTTACAATATTACGCTACTTATATTCTACTCACGCTACTCATGAATATTTATAAGTAATATAAGTAGCATAAGTAGTTCTTTGATATACTGGCTTTGTCTTACGTGAAATATTTGGGGCGTCGGGAACTGCCCCAGATACTCATTTACCCGTTTACCTAATATTTTGAACTTTATTTATGGAGACGAAAAAGTAGATAAGATTTTCAAAGCTTAATAAGGGGAAAGAGGCTTGGGAAAGCCAATCTGCCAATGGCATCACATACCAATGAATAACGTAAGGGATTTCAGGATTTCGTTGGCCTTTAGGATGGAATATGCTGATCTGAACCTTATATTTTCTAGATGGCGTGGGTTAATGTGAGTTTTCGATCGTTCTCGGGGTCAAGTTAGCTAACTATACTTTATCAAATGCTTATCCAAACGTTTCTTGATTACAGTACAGTGAACTTCAAAACCGGCTTCGCCCCAAACACTCTTGCAACGAGAGTTGGCCCCACTTTTCTCGTTGATCCCTGCAAACCGCTTTACCCTTTATGATTGTTATTAGTAAGCAACGCATACTACGTAACTCAGTGACACATTCGAAAAGTGGCGCGCAGCCTGCTCATTTTAGGCTACAGCCCCGGCACGGGCAAAGGTGGCCTCTCAACTCCAACAACGCCTCTCAATTCTTCGCCGCCGACCACAAAATAATCAGTCTTTAGTCCTGTTGCCGGCTGCCCGTTATCAATGTGGATAGAAGGCAACCGCCCCAACTGCCCTTGCCTCTTTCAGTTACCAACGTTGAACCTCTACGCCTTTACATCACATTCAAACTGGCTCCTTCTCGACCTATATCCGCCCTCAATACTTTTCTTAAGCCTGTCTATTGACTCTCACTGTTTCAACCATGGATTTTCAATATGATTCAGCGCTTGATAACAAAGACGAAAAGAAGATTCGTCTCCTCCAGATTTTGCCGCCCAAAGAAGCCCCCTCATTCAGCGTTACCCCCGAGTTTGTCCTTACGACACATAATATCAGCGAAGTTCCGAAATACCAAGCACTATCGTACACATGGGGTCCGCCAGAAGATGGAATAGAAGCGTACAAATGCGAAAAAAAGACTATACTTATCAATGGAGGTCTATTCCTTGTGTTGTCAAACTTGATGGATGCCCTGTGCCATATCCTACAAGCCTGGGATTCGGCTGACCCCGTTCCACACATATGGATCAATGCGATTTGTATTAATCAACAGAACCCGATTGAGCGCGGCCTACAAGTACAATTTATGAGCGAGATATATCAAACGGCAAGCCAGGTACTCATATGGCTTGGCAAGTCAAATATGGAGAGTCGAACTGCATTCGACTTTATACGGAAGCAAGGAGATCTTTCTCGTATTGCGTATCAGCAATGTATGCAAAACAATAGTGGGCTTTATGCTAGCGTTTTCCATGCTCTTTGCCAGGTTCTAAACCGACGTTGGTTCACACGCATATGGACGCTGCAAGAGTTTGCCTTCGCTTCAGGATTCGACGGTCCGCTGATGATCTGTGGTCGAGATCGTTTACAATGGCGCTTGTTCTATATCCTGGGTTACGTCGATAATGAGTTCCGCAATCGCTATCTAGAAGAAAAGCATTCAGGTCCTCTAGCAGGACATTTTTGGAAAGCTCAGGAATACTGGAGCATTGTTTCTACCTTGCATAAGATGCGGCAGGATATTGGTATTGGATCTGGCTATCACCTTCCTTATCTTCTTCAAGCAACAAGATATTTTGCCTCGACGGATCCACGAGACCGGGTCTATGCTCTTCTTGGGCTTGCGGAAGGCGAATACCGACGAGAATTAAAAGTTGTCTACGAAGACAACGTAGACGATTCAGACGATGTTTACGTGAAAGTTTATATCAACGCTGTCAAATGCAGCATTGAAATAGACAACAGCCTTAACATCGTTGCACTTCAGACATTACAAAAGAAGATCAAAGGTTTGCCATCATGGGTACCAGACTTCTCCTTAACAAACATCAGGGGCTATAGTCATCTTCTGCCACAAGACCTCGAGGTGCCACAGATGAAATCTCGACTGCCAAAAGGCTTTTGGGCCCAGTACTTGGCATCCGGCCGTTCACAGCCACTGATACGCTTTTCAGCGAATAACAGACATCTATCTATTAAGGGAGTCAAATTCGGTCGCGTTTGCGAAGTAATTGGACCGTTTAATTCTCTTGAATCGTATCTTCAAAAGGTACAACAATGTACTTCTCGAGCCGCCCTCAGAAGATTACCACGTGGGCATCCACACCGCGGACTTCATTACCTCTGTTATCGCTCTCGCGCGTCGATATGGCGAGTTCTCGTCGCAAATAAAGATGAGACTGGACATGTCCCTGCTCCTAACTGGTATGAAGACGTAATCAAAGCTATGCTTAGCGGCGGCCATATTACAGATGCATTGGGAGTTAATAGGACGAAGACTGAATTGCCACATCTGGCCTTGGTACAGAAAAGCCTTGCAGCGGCGATTTCAGATCGCAAATTTTTTAGGACTGACTTTGGCTTCGTTGGGATTGGTCCAGACAACATTAAAAATGGAGATCTTGTGAGTATAGTGTTCGGGGCTGATATGCCTTTAATACTTCGACCATTTCGCGGATTCCATAAACTTGTCGGAGCAGCTTATATTCATGGCGTTATGAATGGAGAGGCGGCAGCTGTTTATAATTTGTTACGTGCGCGTGGACTTCGCCTATCGACATTTCATCTTCGTTAACGAAGTTGTAACCAAAATTCCGATGATCTTGGCCTATAAACCATGATATTAACATTGCTTGGTATTGTGTAGTGACCTATTTTGCAACAAATTCCTTAAATTGAATAATACATGTTAATATCCTTCAGTAATTAGCACTGGCCTGACGTTATACTAGCGCAGCTAACGTCTTAGCAATGTGGCTAAGTCAAAGCAAGCAGGTAACCTTACTTCTATCGGGACATCACCTTCTTCGTACGCTTTACTGCAAGCAGGGATTATTGAGAAAAGTGGGGCCAACCCTCTACATAAGAACAATTTGGGGAGAAGCCGGTTTCGAAGCTTACTATGTATATATCTAATTACTTCAAATAATTTCGAAGGCTTCGTGTAAGCCGCAGGCTAGCACCCACGTTTCGTACCTGAACCACCTACACCAGGCATCAAAGTTATTACTAAGCTGGTTGTGGCGCACCAGGCACCACAGTACCTCTAGCCACTATTGGCCCTTATGCCTAAGGCTTCATAATTGAAATTACAACGTAAATATTGCGGGGTTGTTTTGCACTAACCAAAATCGTCTCGCTTTGATCCGAGGTACAGATCCGCGTGGCGATCTTGCATGAAATCTGCACGCCACAGTAGCCACCAAGGCTAATAATGATTCCCTGCATCATAGTGAGGCCTAAGAGCTCGGATAACTCCTTTATAAGTATTAGGGATAGTATAAGCTCGGTAGTGAAAGCTGTGGTAGAGGAAGTCTATTATACTATAAAAGGACACTTTTTATAAATTAGGTATGAGGGCAATAATACGAACGCGATTTTCTAGTAAGAGGGGTTTAGGTTATCCGGGAGTAGCTATGAAATATAACTTATAAAAAATTATAGGAGATATTAAGATATATACAGATTTTAAGATACTCAAAGTCAAAGTACTTATTATTTTTTCGGTATACCGGTTTTTTCGGTATATACGAATAGATATTAGAAACTATAATATCTAAGCCATATATACGAGAATACTATCTACTTAACTGGACTACTATAACCCAGTTCGCTCTATTACCTCTTTATAGAGAAGTATAGCTATATTTATACCGGGCTAGTTTTTATATAAGTCTCAGAATATTTAGTTATTATATCTTATATATTTTTTTAGCTATAAAGGTTTAGAGTTAGTAACTTGGTATATACGCCTATAGAAGTAACTAAATAAACTAATTAGTCTAGTTAAAACCTGCTTCCGCAAAAGAAATCAAGTATAAAGGTAGCCTCTTCCTTCTCTTATCTCTTTTTCTCTCTTTCTTCTTACTTACTTTACCGCAAGTATATTATTCTACCTTCCTATATTATAAGATATTATATCTGAGATTTCTATTACTAGAACCTGGAATACTTTAAGTCTAAATACCTATAATAGCCTATCTATTATTTAGAAAGAATTATTAAGACATCTAAAAAGAACTTACTCTTAATTATCTTAAGCTTATTCTCAAAATAAAAAGAAGCCCTTTTAGTCTAATATAATTAAGTTTAGAGAATAGTATATATAATTACTATAATAGCAGAAATAAAGTAATGAAATAATACTTAAAGATCTATAATTCTAATATCCTATAGAATCTAAAGCTAAAGAGAGAAGAAGTAAATAAGATATAGTAATAAATAAGTAAGTATAGCTAAGACTACTAAAATACCAAGCTTGGTTTAAAGCAAGCTTAATTTAAACTATAATTTAGAACTTTAGCTAAAAGTAATTCTTTTAGCTAAAACTATATTCGTATTAATTATATAATACTAGCTATTATATTACTTCTCTCTCTAAAAAGCTTAACTCGAGTACTAGTAAAAATAAAGGAAAAGCTAAAGCAAGTATAATAAAAATAATAAAATAAAATAAAAGAATTCTTTTTCTAAATTAAGCTATAAAATTAGCCTTTTATATATAATTAAAAGCTATATTTAAGGTTAGTTCTTTTCTAGATTTACTAGAATTACTAGAATTACTACTATAATTAGAGTAATAATTAATTATAGTAATTATAATCTATTTATAAGAACTAGAGAAAGTAATACTTATAGAAGCCAAGTTATAATTCTTAATAAAGTAATTCTGGAATCTATATCTAATATATTTACTAGTTTAATAATAATATTAGTAAAGCTTCTTTAAAGTAAAATAAGCTAGTATTACTAGTGAGATTAGCTTAGAGAATAATATAAGAGTACTAATTACTAGTATAATAATATTAATTATTAGTTTACTAATATTTATAGAATTACTAGTAATTCTAGAAATAATAATATATAGTAATATAATTATTTTTAATAAGAGCTACTAAACTATATATAGGAAATTAATATAAATTCTGGATAGAATAAGCTACTAGACTAGATAAGAGCAAATTATAAAATTAAGGCTATTATAAAAGCTGAAAATTTTATTAATATCTAGCTAGCTTTAGTTATTTACTTTATATAAAGTCTATTTAAACTTAGTAATATAGATAGAAAAAGAATTATTACTTTAGTAGAAGATATATAAACGGTTCTTAGCCTCTAATTATTTATTTAGATTATTATATACTTATAAAAACTAATCTAGAATTATTTAGTAATTCTATAATTAAATATATTTCATATAAGAAAGCTATAATAAAACTATAAATTAGATAAATAAATTAAGGTTTAGGTAAATATAGTAGAATTAAGTTATAGTATCTCTAATTATTATACTATTAATAACTAGCTTTACTTTAATTAATAGAAGCCAGATATTAAATTTATAAATATTTCTAGTAAATTTCTTAAAATTAGAGAGCTTTAGATAGAACTAAGAAGCTTAGAATTTCGCAAGAACTATTTATAAAGTAATAATTTTAGTTTATAGACTATTAAACTTATATTAGACTTATATTTAGAAGATATTTATTCTTAAAAAAATATTAGTAAAGTTAGTACTAAAAAATTAATAATAATAATAATAATAATAATAATAATAATAATAATAATAATAATAATAATAATAATAATAATAATAATAATAATAATAATAATAATAATAATAATAATAATAATAATAATAATAATAATAATAATAATAATAATAATAATAATAATAATAATAATAATAATAATAATAATAATAATAATAATAATACTTAAAAATCTATATTTCTAATATCTTATAGAATTTAAAGCTAAAGAAAGAAAAAATAAGTAAGATATAATAATAGATAAGTAAATATAGCTAAGATTACTAAAATACTAAGCTTAATTTAAAATAAACTTAGTTCGAATTATAGCTTAAGACTTTAGCTAAAATTATATTTATATTAATTATATAATACTAGCTATTATAATTACTAATATACTTAAGATATATCCGAAAGCTCTTTATTCTTATTTAATAAATAATCTTCTAATAATATATAGAAATATTAGTATATAATAAGTTAGAGACATCTTTTCTTACTAATTTTAAAGCTACTAATAAACTAAATAAATCTACTAATCCGGTTATCTCCGGATTATAATAGAATATTTAAAATAAGTACTAGATTAATAATAATATTTATCTAATTTCTTAGCTTAAGCTAGAAAGCTAGTCTAACTCTTATTTTATTATATTTTTATAAGTTAAGATTAACTAATATAATAATTATAAAATAAAAGAAAATATATTAAATAAGCTAGTATTTTACTTTTAATTTATATTTTCTAAAGAATATAATAGAAAGCTTATAATTATATAGGTTTATACTAGTAAAGAAGCTATTTATAAAAGTATTATAATTAATTATATAAATAGTATAATAAAGAATATAGCCCGTTTTTAATAATATTCTAGAATAATTACTATTAAGAATTATTAAATATCTTATAAATGCCTATAGTTCTAGATAGTATATTAAATAATTTAATTTAATTTAATTAGATTTTCTTATAAATATTATAGTATAAAATAATAAAATAATAGAATATTTGAATTCTTAATACTTTTCAAAATATAATTTAGTAGCTTGAACCTATTATAAGGCCCTATAGCTTTAGGTTATATATCCTAAATAGATCTTAAAAAATATTATAAAATATTTATAAAATATAAGATATTTTTAGATATAAATATTATTATTAATAGAATAACTATAATATTTAAATATAAAATAGATAATTACTATAAGGCTTCTTAATAAGGTATTTCTTATAAATATAAAAGAAAAGCTCTAAAAAGATATAATATTTTTAGCTTTTGCTTTCTAGTATACTTTTAGAATAATAGCCTAGAATTATAGAATAATTTAGTAACTAAATATATTAAAAAAAAAGATATTAAAGTATTATAAAATATAAATACCCTATAATTCTATTACTTTATATTATAATCTTTATATAATAGCAGAATTAATATAATAGTTAAAGGCTTAAAATTTAAAGAATTTTATATATTAGAAAATATTAAACTATAGAATAAAATAAAGAAAATGCTTTAATCTTTAGTATTATTTCATTTAAGTAATTCTGGCTTAGCTTTATTTTATATCTATTTCTAATATTTTATTCTTAGTAAATTATACTTTTATACTAATAATTATATTACCCTCTTTTAAAAAGAAGTCTAAATACTCTTATTTAGGGAATTATTTAGTTATAATATAGAAAAGAAAAAGGAGAAAATAATAGCTATTAACTCTATTCTATCTAAATCTTATAGCTTACTTATAATTGAAATATAGTCTTAACTTTACTAGAATAACCTAGTTTCTAGTATATTTTGGCTAGTTCTTAGTATTTATTACTTGTATTATACCTGTATCTATATTAATAATATAGTTTGCAAATACTATATAAGCTATAGCTAATATTAGAACTATTATTATTAGATAGTCTTTAAATAGAAATAGTAAATTAAGTCTATTTATTAATATAGGCTTTAATATAATAGCTTACTTGCCTTTTTTCTTAACTAGAATAGTAATATTTAGTTTAATTATATTATCTTTAAGCTACTTAATTAACTTCTAGGCCTTCTCGAGTTTAATATATATATTTTTAAGTTGTTTTTCTATAGTAGAGATTTATTTATTAAAGGTA